CAATCAACTCATCCACAAAGACCGATTCCACGATGGTCTAATGTTTACAACGTGATGCCCACTGTGACAACAAACATCACATCCCATGAGGAACAAATCACTCATCTAGTTAAGGTCATCGAGGGGATGACTACGCTCATGCAAACTGAAGACCAAAAGTTGAATGATCTCAATAACAAAGTTGAAAGCTTAAAAGGCAAGACAAATTGTGCTCATGAAAAGGAGGCTGAACTTTACGAAGATAATAATTCTCACCAAGAGAATTCAGAGAAGAACATCTCAACCTCTGAGGGCATGATCTAGATTGATCAACTCAAAGCCTTCATCGCAGGGACAATAAAATGGGAAGATCGAAGGTGGTCAAGCAATGTACTTTTATGTTAAGCTATACACTCCAAGAATTGAAGTGCTAAAGATGCTCATTGTATCAACCACCACATTTCATCTAGGTTGATTGAAAGGGAAACCTGGGACAACATGTTCCTCATTCAAGAACTGAAGACCGGAGGCTCTTCAAGCTGAAATCTACATTCAAGAACATTCGAAGATTCAAATGACTAAACTTTTGAAGAATTGAAGACCCAAACAATGAAGGTTCGAAGATTCGAAGATCTAAAGAATGATTATTCGAAGATCTCAAGAACAAAAGATTGAAGAGCTGAAGAACGTTCGAATATTTGAAGAATTAATCTCTAGTTGAATTTCTTAATTACATTTGTTTCAAATTGCAAATGAAGAATCAGAGGATTCATATTTGGATACTGAAGCCGATATTCTCATATATTTTTTATTTGCGATCAATATTAAGTAATTACTTACAATTTATTTTACAGTAAAGTTTTTATATTGTTTGATACAATTGTCCATAGAAGACAAAGAGGAAGGTACATTGGAGTTATATGAAGATATTGTCAAAAGACATCCTGAGTTTGTAGTTAGTTTGCAGTGAGCTTGAGGACAAGCTTGAACTGGGGGCTAGCCAATTAATTAATTAGTCTGTTAGTTAATTAACAGCCTAGCTGATGATTGATCAATAATGATTTTATAAACAAATCATTGAGTAGATAAATAGGAGTCAAATTGTATTCTTCGTTTCTATAAACTCCCCCAATCAGATTCTTAGTGATATTCTTCTTTTTGGAATTCATTTTCTCTTTTATTTTCGGCAATTAGTTAATAATTCTTCAATTAATTCCTAGAGTTATCATATGTATGTACTTACATGTGTACATATTACACACACTCACACTACTGCAGCCACAATATTCTCAACTCCCAAATCCCAATACAAGATTAATTAGATACTACTGCAGGTTCCACAAATTCCATAGAAAATTCAAGTGACGTTTAAAGGATGCATTCTTGAATTTTATAATCAATTTCCAGCAAAAAAGAAAGAAGATAAAATTTTGTCAATTGAATAAAATTTAAATGGAATTGGGACAATACATGGATGTGGGATCTCCACGATTTGGTTGATAGGTTCCATTTAAAGTTCTTTTTCATACCATATATTTAGTTTACAAAAGTCATATGTATATTTTAATAACTTATTATATCAAAAGGCATTTTTTACAAAAACACTTTTGATATAATAAGTTAAAACACCATGAACTCTTATTATTAAGCATTTTCTCCAAATTAGCCGTCACAAACACGGTCTTAGACATTACCCTCAATTAGCCGATGTTGGAAGCACAATGGGGGGTTTGGAAATTAAAGTTGTAGTCGATAACGGATTTTATTAACAGTGTTTTAATGGTTCAATATGTTCGAGTCGAACTCAAGCTTATATACTCTAAGTTATGTAATGTACAAATAAATCCAGAACTATGCTTATGTCCAATGGTAGAATGCTAAATTGAGCCTAGAAAGATAAAAGAAATAGATGGCTTAACAGTTTAAACTTAAATACCCAGATATGAATAAAAGCTTACTAATGTGCCAAAATGCAAGTCATTATGTTAGGAATATTTTATGGTGTCCAATCTAATTAAATATCTTTGTATTTGTTTAGTTATTGATTAAACGTGTAATACGGACCACAAATGTATATCAGTCTGGGGTCTTCCTTGTAACCCGTAAGTTAGCTAAACTTCTCCTATAAAAGGAGGCTAACTTACGAGAACCCTAACAATCGGATAGAGGCTTAAGAGACGCAGAGGCGAGATAGAGAGAAGGGTTTCCGCTACTCTCCTTCTCTAGGGAGAGCAACGGGGTTTCATACGGTATACCTGATTCGTGTATAATATCGACATATCTTTCTATATGTTTCTTCTTCACTCCTTATATTGTTGATTGTTTAGTATTATGGATCTATCACATTACCTGACCAAATTAGTAAAACCAATTCTAGAGTGTCTTGACAATAATACTCCTTCCATATTTGGGCATCATTTGGGATTCTAAGAGTAAATGTCGAAATTCCAAATTTCAGAATTTTGTTTGCTGAATCATTAGGTAACTATCAAATATTTCTGGCTAAACGGTACAAACCTAGTTTCCGGATTTTGGACCAGTCCGGATCGAAACCAAATTTGATAAAATCTGTGAACAAAAGATCTAATTGATATGTACCCGTATGGGTTGGACTCGATTATACTGAAGTTGTACATAAGGCCGTAGTTGTCCATCCAAATTGAATAATGAGAGGCCATAAAACCCAAACCCTACGAAAAACTTCCCCGACAAGCATTTATCCAGAGGCAGATTGGGCCTAGGGCTAGGCAGGGACATGACCACCATAAAAATTTCTATTTTAACTAGTATATAGGTAATGTTATAAAAAAAAAACTAGTATATAGGTACAAATATTAGCCCCACTCTGAAAAAAAAACCTTAATATATCCATAGAGCTAGAGCCCGTTTGGTGATCTTGTTTTTCGTTTTGGCTTATCAGACTTATCAGCTAATTTTTTTCACGAAACACGTAAATTTTAATTTTGCATGCTAAATTTTGTATGAAAAAAGATATTACCCTAAATGGGAGTAAAACAATGTGAAAGTTCTCAAATAGGAGTGTTTATTGATTTATCCCCAAATAGGAGTTATTTATTAATCACCCGTTACTTCTTCCTATTATACCCCTCTATTATTTCCTGCAGCCTCATCCTTATCTGTTAGGAATCTGCTACGCCTCTCTCCTCTCTATCATGATAAGCCAACATCGTCTCTCCCATCTTCTTGTTATCCTCTCCATCCCACTCTCTCCTTATCGACACATTTTGAGATTTAATTGCTCCGCTCTTTCCGGCGGCTGCGGGCAGTAGGCGGCGACGGCGTAATCGTGTCGCATAGGGTAAGTATAGATCTTCTCTTGTTCTTCTTCCTCCTTCTCCTCAATCTCTCTTCTCATCCTCCTCTTCTCTTGTTCTTTCTCCACTAATTCATTCTCCAATTTTAATCTTTTTTACAAATAAGAATCAATTGTTTTTTATAATTTATTTCAATCCATGTGCTGGTAAACTTGCAGATTAGTCTTCCGATTTGAATCTGTAAAAAGTTCTCTTCTCTGGTTCTCTCTCCATTAATTCATTCTCTAATTTTAATCTTTTTCACAAATTTGGTTCAATTATTTTTTATAATTTATTTCAATCAAGGTGTTGGTAAATTTTCAGATTAATCTTCCAATTGGAATTTGTAAAAGTTTTCTTCTGTTGTTCTTTCTCCACCTATCCATTCTCCACTTTTAATCTTTTTTTTTTTAAATTTGTTTCAATTTCTTTTATAATTTATTTCAATCAATGTGTTGGATTTGAATATGTAAAAAGTTCAACAAAATTGTGTCCTTTTAAAAAATGAAAATCTAAATTTAAAAATAAAAGACAGAAGAAACTCTGAAAATGACAAAATCCGAAACAATATTGCCATCTTGGTAAAGCTAGTGTCATATAGATGGCATTAGCATTCAAAATGACTTTTCGTAATGAACATGGCATTATGTGTCAAAATTATACTTTCATATGGAAGGTAATGCCATAAACATGGCATTATGTGTCAAAATTATACTTTCATATGGAAAAACATGTCACTATTAGTACTTTATTTGCAAAATGTTAAATTACCATCCTGAAGAAGTTAGTGCCATATAGATGGCAACATTTGTCAAAATGCATTTTCAAATGAAAAAGACATTATTAATATTTTAATTTCACATAGTAACATTTTCATCTCATTAATATCATAAAAATGAAATTATTTTCAAATCGTAGGTCAAATAAGAATGAATGATATGACCAATCCAGATTCAAACAACAAACTAGCATTTTTGAGATTTGAAATTGACGAATATGACACCAACATTTGTGGTGGTGGTGGTGGCGACTAGAAGAAGTTGGGATGGCGTCGGAAGAGAAGGCGGACACCCAAGATCCACTGGTAGAGACGCCTAAAGAAGACGTTGGAGGTAATGGCGGCGACGGCGGATGTGACATGTATGTCGGCAGAGGTGACAGGGATGACATCGGCGGCAGCAACTGCGGTGATGGAGGCGGTGGCAACTGGCAACGCAGATGAAAAACACGGCGCGTGCTCCCTGGAGAAGTGTGTCGTTGTTGATAGATGCCGTAATTTTTTACGGGGTATTATTTTGTTTTAATTTATTAATTATGAAAGTTCAATCTTCATTAAAGGCAATTATGTCAACCCATAACATTTTACTCCTATGAAACCACACAGATCATTAATGTCCTGTATTTGCAATTTTGTATTCGTTTACTCCTATTTGGAGAATTAATTCTATGAAAAAATAAGGTTGAAGTTATTTTTTGGTTATATTGAATGAAGTATTGCAAATGATCATTTTAACTATTTTTTCATATATATCTTTCTTCATTTTATTAATAAAAATCATTTTAAATATAGTTTATTCATAAAGCAGCAGTGTTAGTCAATCTAATCATTTCAACCAAAACTTCTTACATTTCTGTAGAATCAATCAATTCCGTATTACCAAATGAGTTTTTAGTCTCCGGAGTTCCGTCTCCCAAGCAGCGAACCCAGCGAAGCCCAAAATTAAACGGCCCAAATGTCCAAATGAGCAACGACGCAGGCGCAGAGGCAGTAATCGACTCATTCCTATTCCGCATCGCACTCCGCCCCTAAGAATAGGTAATCGGCGCCAAACCCAAACCCAAACCCAAACCCCTGCTCCGTGACTTCGTCAGTCGGTAGTACGTTAGGCCGTCGCCCGTAGGAGGGTCGGCGCACGGCTGCAGTGCGGCACGGCTGTCGGCTTAGCCTCTAGCTGAGTAGCCTCTCATCTCTCGACACCTCGACTGCTCTATTGTTCAGTGACGACAGTGAGTCAGCGCACCACATTTGCTCTTAGCCCAGTGGCCGCCTCGCCGGTGAGTTTGTTTATTGTTCTTCTAATTTCGCTTATTGCTACTTTGCTAAGTTTGTTATGATATTTTCTGCCTATTCGCTTGAATTATATTCAATTTAGTCATTTGATTATTTGAGTGCCTCACTTTCTAGTTATAACATTTATTATCAATTTATTATGAATGTGATTTGTGATTCGGTAGTTCTAATTTGTCATTTGTGAGCATCGTTTATATTGAAACAGCTAGTGTTGAAAGAGTATTTTCAGCGGTGAATATCATGAAGGATATGTTGAGCAACCGGATGAGTGATGACTGGCTCAATGATAGACATATTGTTTATTTAAAAAAAACATCTTCTTGATGTCATTATCGAGTGATATAAGTAGATGAAAGCCGTTAGAGAACAGTTGTAAAGTTGTGTTTTTTTGAATTTGACTTTGAGGATAACTCTTAATCCTAAAATATTTACTTTTGTCTTTGATTTTTTGTTGCAATGGATGTTATTTTACACTTAAAAATAAAATTTGTTAAACAGACATTATTATATTACATTTTGACTAAATATGCGTCAGTTAATTATATTTAGGCCCCCCTGGATACCAGGGGATCCACCCCTGCTCAGGTACCCACTCGTCATGGAGAACGAAGGACAGGTTGCGCTTCTGCGTCTGAAGTCATCAGACCCACCTCTCTATCTCTCACCATCTCCGGATCTTTCTGCAGCCGCTCGATTAGCCTCCCAATATCTCTACTCTTCCCTCAAACCCTTCACCCCCAAGTCTCCTTTCCCTCAACTCTTAACTGACGGCTTCGATGCAGAGCAAATATGGCAGCAAATTGACCTCCAATCGGAACCTTTGATTTCCTCCATCCGTCGAAGAGTCAGCTACTTTGAGAAGTATCCAGAAAGCATTTCAGAACGGTTCAATGTAGAATCTAAGGGGTTGGAGAAAAAAATAGAGTCATTGGAGGAATTAGACAGGAATAGAGACGAAATTGAGGATGCTGTATTGGATGATTTTGACGAGGATGATGAAGAAGGGGAGGAAGAACAGCAGGTTGATGATGATGATGACTCAGAAGAAGAGGAGGATGATGGTACCGGCTTAGTAGAGGACCAGTTCTTGAAAATAAAGGAACTAGAAAAATTTATGGCAGATGATGAGGCAAGTGAGTTTGGTTTCGAGAAGGAGGTGAAAAAGAAGAAGAGGAAGAGAGTTGAGCAATCAGAGCCCGATGATGAAAGTGCAGGAGATGAGGATGATGGGGTGTGTCTATTTATCTCTATTTCAAAGTTTTGAGCTTTAAAATTTGTTGTCATGTGCTGTGGAAGACTAGTACTTCCTATGTTTATGTATTTCTCAGCCCTTTTTCTATGTTCTTTGTTTTTTCAGCTTGAAGATGTGGACTTTGATGATGATACTTCTGATGAAGATGCAGACATGGAAAATGCCAGGTGATGCACAATCAGTATCCTTAGTTTATACTTCATATTTTCTGCCTAACTGCAATACTAATAATATGAAGTTGTTCATAATCATTGTTACTATGTTAGATCTTAACCCCTGATGTAATTCAAAAGGTTTTGCCATTGTAGGCCTGCTCTTCTAGATTCTCTTCATCTTTTATTGGCTGTAAATCTGTAATTAGTACGGAGTATTTATTATTTAATACCTCTTTATACTGAAGTCAGTAGCCCAATAAGTCAAAATTTACTCCTACTGATCTGTCTTGGACTCCTCTCCATTCTTTATATTTTCCGATTCTTGATTTGGTTATTTCAAGTGTTCACTTTCAACTCTATGATGTTGTGTCTGTGCCATCTTCTCATTTCAAGTAAATTTGAGTTTTTGAAGTATTTAATACAGAGTTCCAACTTTAAATAATAAGATACTTCGTTCTCTTATACTACTCGCTAAATGCTAGGGTTATCAAAATTCAGGAAGCAATTTTGGAACCATACAACCCTTTTTTCTTGAATGCTCCATTCCATATTCATTATGCAATGGTCTTCCATTTAATTAACTTGCTCATAAATGGTTTACAGGTATGAAGATTTCTTTGAAAAAAAGAAGACAGATCTCAACAGAAAATATAAAGCAAGTAATAGATCAATTAACATGGAAAGCGACAAAGAAAGAACTGATGGTGGTGATGATAAGGTAGTGTTTACTATTTCTCCAGGCGAATGGGATAGTCAATGATAGGATCTCAATCCATGAGTGATTATGTTCTGTTTAGGTAATAAAGTAATCAGCCATATATACCCTTTTCTAACAGGGGAACCACAATCTTTCTACCCATGAAAGAGAGCTTCTAAAATTACGCTCCACGATAGAAGAAATGGAGAAGGCAAACATAGAGCCAAAGGCCTGGACAATGCAAGGAGAGGTAAAATAATTCATGTGTAATTTTCAGGTATAATTTTCATTGTTATTAAAGATTGTAGTCCATAATTGCAGGTAACTGCTGCTAAAAGGCCAAAAAATAGTGCATTGGAAGTTGATTTAGATTTTGAGCACAATGTGAGACCTGCACCGGTGATTACAGAAGAGGTTACTTTGTCCCTAGAAGAATTGATACGCAAACGGATCCTTGAGGTGATTGTTTTGGCAGATTTTGTATATTTATGCCATAATCATAATAAACTATCTATATATTATAGAAGTATATAGGTTCAGTTCTTCAGACTTTTGACTATTGGCATTTAAATTTGTATCATAATTTTTTGTTACCATTCTTGTACTTTTCTCCTTTTACATAAAATCTTAAATGATCAAGAAGATCGAGTTTTTGTCAACCTGCATTTTTGGAAGAAGCTAATAAGAACAAACATGATATGAAAAACTGACGTTCAGGTCTTTCCCACCATTTTATTAAACTGCAGGAACAATTTGATGATGTTCAGAAGCCTCCTAGTATGCCATCCCGAGCGCCAAGAGAAAAGAAAGAACTGGTAGTTTTTTCTCTAAAATAATGTGTTGGTGTTGCTTTTGCAAGTATGGGTAATGTGAGAATCCATTACCCTTTTCTTTTGTTCTGTCAATGCAGGATGATACTAAGAGCAAAAAGGGTCTCGCTGAAGTGTATGAGGTGAGTTTATATATGTTTTCTGCTGTAATAATGGTCCTAGAGAATAGAGATGTAGTAAGACATTGTTTCTTTTCAATAGTTTGTTTTACAAATCACTGATGCGTAATGAACATTAATGCAGGAAGAATATGTTCAGAAAACTGGGCTTGTTTCAAACGCTATGTCTTTCTCGGATGAGCAAAAGAAAGAGGTGTGCACTATTTATCCTTACGATTTTCTTTCCTTCTTCCATTCAACAGGAAGAAGGATTCTATTCTGTCATTTTTATGTCTATGTTGATACTTTTATCCATTCCTGCTATTAACAACTAAATGGATGAAGGCGAATGGTGTTCATAAATTATCGTATTTATACAGCAAACATTTGCGGGAAAACTATCTAATATAGCAATGGGCAAAGGTGAAATAGAAAAGGCTTTGAGCACCCTTTCATACCTTTAAGGCTTGTTTGGTTAGTAGATTTTGGAGTTATGGTTGATTTTTGTTGTGTTAATTTTTCTCTGTTTGTTAGTCATAGACCACTAAAAAACTTTATCTATAACTAAATAATGCAAATTTTTAAATTCCTCTCTTTTTTCAAGCATCTATTGTAATAAATGTCACTTTCTTTTCAAACCCCCAATCAAACAAGGATTTAGGGCCTACCCTCATTTGTAGAGATGCACACTTGCAAAGCTAAAAGCAAAATGCTGATGAAGAAAGATGTGAACAGTGGATTACTGACTATTACTCTACATTTTCAGGCATCTATGCTGTTTAAAAAACTCTGCCTCAAGTTGGATGCGTTATCTCATTTCCATTTCGCACCAAAACCGGTAAAGCTATAGCTTGTAGGTTATTTGGCTATTATTTGTTATGCTTCCTTACAAGTGAACATCATCAAAGAAAAATGAGTACACAGATTTTGGGGTTATATGCTTCCTTACATATGAACTTAAAACAGGTCATAGAAGAAATGTCTATTCAAACTAATGTCCCTGCTCTTGCAATGGAAGAGGTAATACATTGCTTTCAAGTGATAACCTTTTTCATCTCATAGCTCTTATCATACTTGCGTGTTGTAAAGAGTTGCCGAGTCATCTCATGACTTCGATTGCATGCAGATTGCGCCAGTGGCCATCTCAGATGCAGCTATGCTGGCTCCTGAGGAAGTTTTTACTGGAAAAAAGGATATCAAGGAGGAAACAGAGCTCACACAAGAAGAGAGGAAAAGGAGGAGAGCGAAAAAGAAAAGAAAATTCAAAGGCGAGTTTTCAAAAGAACTTTTAAAGCATTAGTTTTTTTGTACTTCGTGACACAAAACATGAAGAAGATTCATTTATTACTTCATTACTTCATTATTTGTATCCCTTCTGAATACATGTAGCGATGCCACTACTTCTTTGCTTATAACATGATATTATTTCTCACTACTCATAGTTACTTGGTACTGTACTACTATTGTCATATTCCATACTTTGTACTCTCAATGTCTATTAGGTTTCTGTCGTTCCATTTTCTATCTCGTTAGAAATGGTATATGTCACTGTACTTTCCTTCGCTAGTCTGTAGTTTGAATTTTTATGCCTAAAATTTCCTTCCGTGGTGTAGCATTATAATTATAACTCACATTATGAAAGTGCTGTTTCTTGTTGTATCTTTACTGTAGTTGTATTCCTCTCTATAAAGAAAAATGGTTCATTAGTTAAATGATCGGTGGAGTATAAATCAAATTATGTGTACTTTTATATGAATTTGCGCTGGTGTATTTTTACCGATATACTCTGTGACTCCATGTAGATTTCTAGGCTGCTGGTGTCAACAAATTTCACTTCATTTCATAAATATTGAGTTTGTAACCTAATTTTTCAGCTGAAACATCAAAAAAGAAGGCACCTCTAATTGCATTGCATACCAGTTCTGAGAGTGAGTTCTGCTGCTATACTTAATGAATGACACATGATATGTTTTTTCTAATAAAAAAGAATGAGTACACTGATCTGATGCATTGCTTCTAAATAGCAGACAAGGGACAATCGTGACCTAGAAATGTTCAGATTCCAAGTTATTCCAAGTTCAAACAGGAGTAGGGCAACCACAAGGCAAGTGAAAAATAACTATAATTATTATGCGAATATAGAGTGATATATTGATCTTCCTGTGCTGGGAAAGGCTGTCCATTTTTGCTTCATGATTATCATTTCCATTTTGTTTTGCTGAATATTTCCAAGGTGGTTTAATTTTGTTTAATCTATGTATTTTAAAATTTTGCGGTTATGACATCTCACTTAATTAATATAGTTAATATGCAGTTCCTTTGTGCAATGCTGTAAGGCCATTTTCTGATTTGAATGTATACTTGAATTAGTAGCATAGTTGGAGTTCTCTCAAACCTGGGATACTAATATGCACGCAGAGTGCATTTAGTATGCAGACGTTAACCGAAAAGGAATGTTTGCAAGAAGATGGCTTTGAATTTTACTTCTGGAAATTGGGATCTGACATTCCGAAAGACCCATTACAAATTTACAACCTTTTTTCACAGATGTGGATGGAATATTGGGTGCTTATGTAATAACGGACCCCAACTTGGCGCGGGCCCGGGCCCGGTCCATGCCTAACCCCAAGGCCCCAGAAAAGTACACATAAGTTGGAGATCCTTTAACTATACATCGCTTTCGAACACTTTATTTTCTAAAAACTGCGCAATCTAATATACTTTTAATGTAATGATCTGTTTAATTGGCGGGAAGAGGGTTTCACATGGGATCCTCTTAAAAACTTGGTATGGAACTTCACATCATTTCCACCACTTTGTGATCAAATGTCAAATACACTCTCATATTACTGTCCTTCGAATTTTGGTGGATTCCTAGAGATGGAGTGTCGTCCTTTTTCAGTGACTTATAATTATCATAAACGTGGTTTGTGAAATTAGGGGTGGACTCGGGCCGGGCCAACCGGCCCGCCACTGTGCGGGCCCGGACCGGCCCGGGAACCGGTTCGTTGGGCGGTTCGGGCCACCCGGCCCGGTGGATTCTCGGTTCGGGCTCGGGCCCTTCAAAAGGTGAACCGGCCCGGCCGGTTCGGGCCCGGGCTGGGCCAATTTTAATTTTTTTTTTGAATTTTTTTGAGTTTTTGGGTTGGGCTGGTTATTTTGGGCCATTTGAGGTGGTTAGGGTTGGTTTGGGGGTGAGGGGGAGGGGTAGGAGGTTAACTAGGAAAAGCCCCCCAAAAAAAAAAAAAATACCCGAGGCTCGGCCCGGCCCGGACCCGGGGTTTACCCGGGCCGGTTCCGGGCCTCCCCTTCTTGAACCGAGGCCCGGCCGGGCCCAGGCCCGAACCGGGCCCGAACCGGCCCGAGTCCACTCCTTTGTGTTCAAAATTAGTTTTGAATAACCAAAATTTGTATGCATGAAAAGATATGCTGGAAAATAATGTTTGTTTTTGCACCAGTAAACATTGGTTTTGTGCAATCATATTAGGCATGGACTGGTTCTGGGCTCCGGGCTCCGGGCCGGGCTCAAGGTCGGGCTTCAGCCTCCAGGCCGGTCCAAACTGGGCTTTTTGTTGTGGGTTAAGTCTGGGCTTGGCCCGGGTCGGGTACTTTTTTTTTATTTTCTAATTACTTCCTACCCCCACACCCAAACCCCTCCAAAACACCTAGCCCAACCTATTTACCTCCCAAAGAATTTGAAAAAAAAAATTGACTCTTACCGGGCCGGTATCAAAGAACCCTAGACTTGGCCCCCTTGGTTCTGGCCTGGGAAAATGGGTTGGGCTGGTCTTCCACAGTGTTGAGCCGGGATCTGGGCCGGTCCAAAATGGGCTTTTGGTTGTGGGTTAAGGCTCGGAACCACCTTGAGATTGTATCGGGCCTGAGCCGGGTATCTTGTTTTTTTATTTTCTAATTACTTCCTACCTAGGGATGGACTCGGTTCGGACCGGGCCCAGTTCGGGCCTTGAACCGACCGGGCCTCGGTTCAAGGTATGGGAGGCCCGGAACCGGCTCGCGTAACTCCTGGGTTCGGGCCTGGTCGGGCCGGGCCTCGGTTATATATATATATATATATATATATATATATATATATATATATATATATATATATATATATATATATATATATATATTTGGGCTTTTTCTAGTTAACCCCCAACCCTCCCCCTCACCTCCAAACCAACCCTAATCACCTCAAATGGCCAAAAATATCCAGCCCAACCCAAAAACTTAAAAAAAATTCAAAAAAATAAAAAATAAAATTGGCCCGGCCCGGGCCAGAACCGGCCGGGCCGGTTCACCTTTTGAAGGGCCCGAGCCCGAACCGAGATCCCACCGGGCCGGGTGGCCTGAACTGGCCAACCAACCAGCTCAGCGGGCCTGTCCGGGCCCGCACAGTAGCGGGCCGGTCCGGGTAGGGTTGGATTCGGTTCGGGCCACCCGGCCCGTGACCCGGCCCGGTCGGGCGGTCCGGGACCGGGTGTAGACCCGAACCGGCGGGGAGGGGCGGGGCGGGGCGGGTACGGTTCCTGAAAAAGTTGGTCCGGGTCCGGGTCCAATGGTCCAATTTAAAAAAAAATTGTTGGGCCCCAAACTAGCCGTTATGGCCGTGGGGGGTGGGCTGGGGACAACCCAAACGGCTATATAGCCGTTGGGTGGGGTGCATGGGGGGTCTTGGGGGTGGGGGTGGGGGGGTAAAAAAACCTATAAGTACTCCTAATCTTAAACATTTTTTCATATCTCTTCTCCAATTCTTCCTAAATCCTATTCCTAACTCTCTACTCTCTAATTCTCTTATTCTCCAATATATTATATTTATTATTTATATATCTACTTTATACTTAAGAAGTTAACATGGAAAATCAAGATGCCATTATACGGTATAATTTTGATAAGCAGAAGGACCCGAAGACCGGGATGTGGTACGCAACTTGCAAATGGTGCGGAAAAAAAATGTAGCATGAGGGTTTCAGGCGGATACGGGATGTCAATGAAGCATATGAAGTCATGTGACAAAGCCAAAGGATCGGGAGGTGCGGGAAGTTCCGATTGATTACAATTTTCAAAATGTTTCTCTTAAAGTTTGTTTTAATTTTCAAATGTAGTTCCTATTTCATTTCAAATAAATGCACTTGAAGTTTGTTTTTAATACTTGTATAAAACTATAAACTATAAAATATAAATTATATAAAAAAAAACTTTAACCGGCCCGACCCGTGACCCGGGCGGGTGGCCCGGCCCGAAGCGGACCCGTCCAACCCTCGGGCCGGTCCCGGGCCCATGTCATACAAACCGGCGGCCCGACCGGGCCTAGGCCCGGCCCGGGCCCGACCCGACCCGAGTCCACGCCTGGTTCCGGGCCGGTTGGGTCATGGGTCTAGGGTTCTTTGGTAACGGGCCGGGCCAATTTTTTTTCAAAATCTTTGGGATGTAGGATTTCGGCCCGGCCCGCTACTGTGCGGGCCCGGACCGGACCGGGACCGGTTGGCCGGTTCTGGGCTTTTTGCCCGTTTGGGCGGGTCGGGTGGGTCGGGCGGGCCGGGCTCGGGTCCAGTTTTGGGCGAACCGGCCCGGCTCAATTTTTTTTTTGTTTTTTCAATTTTTTTTCTTTTCCTAGGGTAGGACTGGGTGTTTTGGGAAGGTTTGGGGGTGGGGGGTGAGGGGTGAGGGGGGGGGGGGTCGGGGGATAACAAGAAAGCAAAAAAAAAATATAGACATTGAACCGGGTCCGGCCCGGTTAGGCCTGGACCCGGTATCAACCCGGGCCGGTTCCGGGCCCAAGGATTTGCAAAAAAAGTCCGTCCGGGCCCGGCCCGGAACTGGACCGGCCTGGGTCCATCCCTAGGCAAAATGGAAGAAATGATAAAGAGTAGCGAGGAAAAGCAAAACCATGCGGAAAAGAAAATAGAGAAGAGAGAGGGGAAGTTTGGGAGAAAAAGTGATACAAATTAAAAGCCAAATAGAAAACATATAACGTATTTACATTATATAGTGAGTACTAAATTGGCACACAAAATTGTTACAAAATTAAAATTGTTTTGTGTTTTGTTTGATTTGAATGTTTTCGATTTGGTTTGATTGGGGATGTTTTTATCTGGAATTTGCAGGTCTGATTTGGTCTAATCTTGTCTAGTTTGGTCTGAGCTACTCTGGTATGGTCTGATAATATCTGGTCTTTGTGTATTTTTCTAACTATCAAGTGTGGTCTGGTCTGGTCTAGGACTAAAAACAATCCAAGTAAAAACATCATGAACATTCAGTGTGATTTTGTCTAATCTAAAACTTCGTTAATTTGAAAAATTAAAAAATAGTACTCCCTATGTACTTTAGGTGTTGGTTTTAAATTACCGACTTTACATGAAGGTGAATAATGGAGACTTCTTCTGTATAAAAAAAAGGAAAATTAAAACTATTAATCTCACCTTTTAGCATTCTTTTTACGATACTCTTATCTAACTGAATCGAGAAATAATTTCACATTTGCACTTCATCTTCTTTCATCGGTCCTTGAACGGTTGATGTTTACTATTCCAGGTTATTTTTTTTTTCTTTCCAAAACATTGAATCATAAATATCATCTTTCACAAATCTTCTTCAATTGGCTTCACGTATGATTTTTCTTTTTCCTTCCAAAAAAATCTCTCTTTTTTTCTTTATCATCACAATGCTTTCATACTTTTTCTTCTTTTTTATTTTCATTTACTTTCCTTGTTTATGTATTCTTTTATCCATTTATCATGAGAGTTTTTTTTATTGAACTTTGTTTCGAGAGATTTTTCTTTTCTTCCGCTTCTCCTTCATTTTTATTTTCTTTCCTTTTTATGTGTTCTTATCCGTTGTAGTCTCTTTTTGTAATTATTTCCCGGCTACTTATTTATATATTTCTTTTGAATTTTTCAGAAAAGAGAAAAATATATGGGAAATTCCCCACAGGTCTAAATGAAACTTTAATTGTAGGAATAGAAATATAACTTTAAATTCTCTAAACAGGAATACATTTTCTACCATTGCTTTGTTTTAATACAATTCATATTTTATTAATAATTAAAACATAAAAGTAATAACATAAGTTTCTTTATAATAAAAATGCAAAACAAAAAATACAAAAACACAAAAATAACTATAAAAACACTGATAAATAAAAAACAGGAAAATATGTTGCAAATTTTATTCCAATTACTTTAATAAAAATTTCCACAATTCAGGTACTTCACTGATTTTAATTAATTTTTTAAATTATATGAATGAATTACCAAATTGTTACGGAGCATATTCTACATATATGTGTATCGGAGTTTGTGAATAGACAAAATATCGGACCAGTGTATCACGTAATGCACATTTGAGTTTACCTTTTCATTCTGCACATTTCAGTTTTACCAAATGCATAATTCAATTTCACATAATACAATCCAATGGTCCAGATTGATTCACATTTCTCTCCTAGGAATCCTTTCTCACTCGAACCACTCCATATATATATATATATATATATATATATATATATATATATATATATATATATATATATATATATATATATATATATATATATATATAGGATCAAATGAGAACAACATTTAACGTGAGAACGTGAGAACACCACATTTACCTCAATATAGTAGCTTTCATGTCCAGCTGGCCTGACAGAACTTGTCGTTCGATCATCCCACTAAATGTATCTCATACCATATTTGGTAATATTTGTCTAACTCTGGTTCATTTTTACTTTATTCTCACTTTATCATATGATTATCAACCACATAACTTACATTTCATAAAAATCGCATCACCCTCATTTGTCCCAAACTTAGGGCAGAGGTAATACATCTTTATCCATTAAATAACATTTTCTTTTGAAAAAGTAATAAGGTGATATGATAAGATTAAGGCAAAAATAACAGAATATATACGTAATATTCTTTGGGGATTACAAAATAGGATAAAACGACAAATAAACCATGGGTTTGATACTGTTAACAAGTAATAGAGAGCATATGTCGATTGGTTTAATTTGAAATTTTGCATTTTACAAGTTACTCTAATATTACCGGTCCGAAAAGATTTGTCATATTGACTTTTCTTGATTAATGATGACAAATTTTAGACAATAACTTTGATTATTATATTTGTATATAAATTGTAAATTGTATACGTTTATGAAAATATTTTATAAATTATAAACACTTTGATATAATTTTCATATTTAAAATAATTTCATATTAAAAGATATAAACATCGTCGATAAACAAAAGTTTGGTGAACCTTTTCGGCAGGTGAGTATATACTTGGTATATACGGAGTAATGGTTATCGTGAGTGGTGACAAATGACAATTAAGGGAGGGTATAGTCTCCGTTCTAACTTATTCCATTGACTATGCATAGATCCAAAGCGTTTCTTTCCATACGCGCCTTCAGTTCGTTCTAAGTGCACTTTATTAATTAATTAATGAGCTGGTCATCTCAAATGTTGACTATCAAATATTTTTTCCCTTTGATCATTAATACTTTTTTGATCATTAATTAATGAGCTGGTCATCTCAAATGTTGACTATCAAATACTTTTTTAATTATAACGATCCACTTTTTACGTTTGATCATTAATATCTTTTACTCAGTTCGTATACCGTGGGAGCAGCCCACGGTGAGCATGCTGCTCCCACAGGAAAAAAGCGTGTTACTGTTCACGGGCGTGAACAGTAACTTCATTTTTGTTTTTTCATTGTCCCAGTAGCGGAATAGGTGTAACTCGCGTGTAACAAAATGTAACTCATGCTAATAAGAAATGTAACAACAAGCAAGTTGAAATGTAACTTGTCTAATACGAATTATAAGAAATAAAACATTGATTTTAATGAAAACAAGGAGTTTAATTGCTCAATTACTTTACTTAAATAGTTTATATGTTTTGTTTTCAATATTAAGGACATAATTTTCTTTTACCTTTTTTTTGCCAAATTAAAAATCATTTTTTTGGCCAAAAACTCATTTTGTTTTTGCAAAAAAATGTAATTTTTTATTCAATAGAAATGTTTTTAATATTAAACCAGAAGGGTTAACATAAATGTTGAACATATTTTTTTTAATATTAAGTCCATAAAAATGTTTTTAAAAATATATTTTGTGCCAGAACACATTTTTTTTCGAAAACAGTTTTTTTCATAACAATGATTCTTTTGTTGCAATAGTAGGCTTTATGTTGTGATGTGATTCATATTACAGAAAATGTAACCCGCGTTGATTGAAAATCTAACTTTAGTGTATACAAAATGTAACTTGTTGAGGCAAACTCAAATGTAACTCGCGTATAGAAAGATGTAACTCACGCACAAGAAGATGTAAATCGTGCATAAGAAGATGCAACTCCATATAATATCAAATGTAATTATAGAAATAGTCTATAAACATAACTCACACATACGAAAAATGCATTATTCTCATGTTTTTTTTCAAATTTAAATCGAAATAAACAACCTTAATGACTATAAAACACAAAAAACATATAAAAGAGATAAGAAATATATTATAGAAAAAATTATATGAATATAAAACATATTTTACAAAAAATGTGTATGAATATGAAATACAATATACTTGTGTTTTTTATTTATTTTGAGTTTAGGAATATTTTATTATTTTTTATAATAAATATAAAAAAAGGAATACAAAGTAAGAAATAGTGTATGAATATGAAATACAATATACTTATTTTATGTGGTTTAATAAAATTTTGTATTAAATTGGTAAAGAAAAAAATTAATTCAGTTATAATTGAATTAGTTCAAAATAAAGATAATTTAAAAATCACAAATAATTAGATATAACTCACACATAATTACATGTAACTTGCGAATAAAAGTATGTAACTCGTGTATAAGAAGATGTAACTCATACATAACAAGATGTAACTCACGCATAATAACTTGTAACTGGAGTATAAGATGATGTAACTTCGTATATTATCAAATGTAACTCCAAGCTAGAAGCAAAATAAACAAACTCAATATCTTAAAAACCTCTAAAAACATATAAAAGTGATAAAAAAATATATTATAGAAAAAGTGTATGCATATAAAAATATATTACAAAAAAATGTGTGAATGTAAAAAAGATATCACAAAAAATAGTGTATGAATATGAAATGTAACGTACTTATTTTATTTAGATTATTAAACTTTTTGTTATGTATTGATAAAGAATTAAAAAATAGATTCAATTATAATTTAAATTGAAGATAAGGAAAGTAAAACTACAATTAAATTTTTAATATTTTAATTTGATGGAAATGGAGAAGAATTAAAGAAAAGAAAAATAAGGAAAGAATAACAAAAGAAAAAGGAATGAAGAAGTTCTAGGGAAGAATAAAAAGGAACGTAACTTGTAAAAGTGGGATCGGCACACCATGCGGAAGGTGGGCCGATCCCACGGTATAATTTGTCTCTTTTCTTTTACTCTTTATTAGTAAAAAAATAAAAAAAAAATTAAAGTTTAAAAATTTAGAATGAAAGGAATTTAACAATATTTTTCTAAAATTTAATTTATAATACATTAATAAATAACATAAGCGCATTCAACGTGAAAAACACGCAAATAAACGACAAACATAAGTGTTTTTAGTACACCGTACCAGTTCTAAAAAATTAAAAGTACATAATTAAACTAAACGTAACAATAAAAAATCTATGTACGGAGTATGTTAATTATGGATGTCAAGAACAAAATAGCAATTCTCTATTTTCACTTTTGTAGTTTTCTGTACTACGTACTTTTACAACTTATATGGAGGATTGTTTATTGAAAATTTAAAAAATACATATTAATGTTTAAGTTGCAAAAACGGGTATAAAAAGTCAACTTCAACAGCTTTTGATTTAATTTAAGAACTAGGAGATGGGAATGAAGAAATGGAACTTATAGATCGATATTGTACACACAGATTCACTTCCTTTTGGATGCAGGTGCAAGTATACATATATATATATATATATTGTATTAATGCTAATTAAGCTGTATCTTAAGTATAAAACATAGAAGGGGTTGATATGATGATTTAAAATCGAGCTAGCATTAATTAAATAATATATTTACTTTGATATCCTTTGAACCCTAACCTTGAACCCATGTTTCATGTAGAGAATAATAGAAGTGTTTGGTTCCACAGGGTGCCCATCCACAACCCTAACCTGAAAATTATGTATGACAGAAGCAGCCACTGACTTCATTTGAATGAAAGCCACTTCTTTTCCCAAACAAGTCCTTGGCCCTGCATTGAATGCCAAGAACTTGTATGAAGGCTCATGCTTCACCGTCCCTCGCTCAGTTATCCATCTCTCCGGCTTGAACTCCGACGCGTCCTTTCCCCATATTGTCTCCATCCTCCCCATTGCATACAGAGAAAACATTATTTTCATCTTCGGGTGGACGAGGTGGCCGCTCGGAAGAGTGTCCACCTCGATCGGTTCCTTGTGCTGGAAAGGAACCGGTGGGTATAGCCTCAAAGACTCGCACAATGAGGCGTGGAGATAGACTAGAGTTTTCAACTCTTCAGGCTTGAATACCCTCCATTTCTCGCGGTCCTCTTCTGGGGCTATTAGGGTTTTGAGCTCGTCTCTTATTTTCGACTCGATATGGGGGTGAGTGGAAACCAACCATATGAACCAAGTGAGGGCCGAGCTGGTTGTGTCTCGGCCCGCAATCATGAGATTCATCACCATGTCTCTCAAGAACTTGTCGTCGTCTAACTTTATACCCATCCTACCGGTATCATTGTCATCACTAATAGTAATACTCTCTCTCAAGTAAGAGGTGAGGAGATCACACCCCTTTTCTTCCTCTTCCTCATCCTCATCCTCCTTTTTGTGGCCTTTCTTCTGCATCTTCGTCGTCCTCACTAGTTCTTCTTTCTTCATGGCGATGTATTGTCCGATGATGTCATCCAACGTCTTGGAGGCAAGGCTGAGCTTCTTCTCCGAGCCGATTCCGACCCATCGCTGGAGCTTCCATATGAACTCTGGCATGATATGGCGAACGAGAATGGCTTCCTCGGCATCGTCCATGGCCTTTGAGAATGGAACCTCGGGGAAGTCGACGGAGACGCAGCCGGGATCACATCCGGTGAAGAGGATGCAGCTGGTGTCGAAGGTGAGGCGTTGAAAGAGGTCTTGCAAATCGAGCACGGAACCCCGGTCGGAGACGTGTTGGAGGACGTTGATGAGGCCGGTGTCGACCTTGTCCTTGCTGGTGCGGAGCAGGAAGCGGTGGAAGCGGATGTGGGTGATGAGGCCCCGGGCGATCTTCCTCTGGACCCGCCACATGTCCAAGTCGGCGTTGAAAATGCCGTCGCCCAAGACGTCGAACATCTCTCTGAACTTGGGGCCTTTGGGGAAGTTGAGGAAGTTGGCGCTCATGACGTAGTGGACGTTGGCAGGGTCGACGGTGGAGAGGATGTCCATGTTGGCCAGCCAGGGGCCTTTGTAGAGGAATGTGCCGCCGGAGCGGCGCATGGTCATGGTGACCCTGTGGTGGATCTGGTTGATGTAGTAGAGAGTGCCGGGCAGCATGCCCAGAACCGGGCAGCTCCGAGGAAGGCCGTTGCTGTCTTCCCTGCATATGTAGTAAAACCAGAAAAAACAGGCCACCGCTATGAATATTTCCATGTACCCTATCGCTACTACTTCTCCCATTGCATGCATCTATCTTTTCTACTTCAACCGATCTGATCTGCTGGATGAAGCTAAGCATATATATAACTATAACTAAGCAGATGATGATGTCAACTTCAATTCTTACCCATCGCCCGAGCATACCTTTGTGTATTAAATTTATGTATAGAATAGCTAATACCTACTCCATGATACAATAACATAATGAATGAATGAAGGAATGAATGAATGAAAGATAATGCATGATATATAGATAGACAATTCCATTTTTGGTAACGATTACATCACTCGATGCCCTTGTCTCAATTTTAGGGAGACATATTAATGGTGACAACTTCAGTACCTTTCTAAAAAATGGGATACCGTACCTATTAAATAATTCATTTCATTGGACCACATCACTTTATCATTTTTATTTTAGATTTAAATATTTCAACTGCTACATTCTCATTGGTCCATATATGTGGACAAAGGTATGGTACCATACTTATGGGTACCATAGAATCTACCCCGTATTAATACTCGTAAAATATGGTCAGAATTCAAACCATTGATCGAGAGACCTGGGTAGTAATTAATTGGAAAATATATATTTGCATGCATGCAATTAAGCATTAAAGATATATGGGTGGTGGTTGGTTCAAAACCTGCCGGCCTCAGCTCCTTCCTATCTGCTAGCTACTGCTCACTTCCTTCAAACATTTATGTAATTTGATGCTTCATTAGATCTCTCACCCGCGCATTCGTCGCCACTTCTGCATCAAACCCTTTCGTCATACATCTCCATCATCTTCACAACAAACTCCATCAACCTACCTAATTTATTATATATATATATATAAAAATACTACTCCGCATATATAAGCTTGACCCAGAAGCTCCGCTGATGCATGTATATACGTTTCACGTTTTGTTCCATCAATACTTCACATGCACATAAAATTCAGATGATAATATAATATAAGAGTGGAAATTTTTTGTGATATACAAGTGAAAATTAATAAAGTACGTACTTTTAGGTCCTATATATATGTTGGGATATTGGGCCGAAGACCCAATACCCAGCCCAAAAAGCCACTAGGGAGAACTGGCCCAGGAAGAGATTTAACCCGAACGGGAACCGAGGGCCCACAAGAGCACTCGGGTGGCGAACGGGGAACGGCCCATATGATATACTTGATGAAGATTGACGGGACACTAGACAAGATCGCCATTTCGCTGCCCGAACGGGCAACCTGCAAGTACGTAGTAAGATGCATTAAATGCTAGAGTATGGCATCACCAAGTGGAAGCATGAACGTTCAAGTGGTTGGATTAACAACCAATCAGCATGAAGCACCCCATACCCCCATCCACCCCTTTTTTAGTATAAATAGGGTATTAATTACATTGTAACGAGTTAGCATTTTTATCCACTCTCTAGCTCTAATAGCATTCTAGCTCTTGTATTACCATTTGAATTCGAACTATCATTCGACCATCTGTGTGTAATTGTTATTACTACGTTAATACAAGCTGAATTATTGGAGTAGTTGAATCAGATTTTATATTTCCTTTTATACACTTTACTGTAGTATCCATACCCTAGATCCAAGGTTGGTGTTGAGCCTTCGGATCATTCAGGACTAAACCTCAACAATATATATAACTAATATAAGTAAATTATTGTAATCTTGGAATCGATCATATCACATATTCACATTACTTGACAGTATTAGTGCCACAATTAGTCTTCACTCCTATTTAGAACAAAATGTATTAATAAGTGGTTTCTATGTATCCGAGATTCGTAATAACTAAGATAGGATCTAAACCAATTCCGGCCAGTTCAGTGTCAATTTCAAGTATTTAACTTTTTTAATTAAGAAAATGAAATCAACCCGGCCATTTCCTATCAAATTTTGAAGGAACTAGATTCTAGTCCAAATTCCAAAATTGAATAAATGGGCCACCAATCCACCTCACCTGTCTAATTTCCGAAAACGGTATTAGGTCTATTCCTAGCTATCAGTTAAAATAAACTTTATAGGGGTTGAGTTAATCCAATCGAGCCTAAATTGTAAAGGGATCGATCAGAATAATATCAAGACAAAATATCACCATTCCATCCCAAATGACCGACCAAGTTCAGCCAAAGAGTGGTAGGTGGTCTCATGCATCTTTTTAAACAAGTTTAGATAAATTAGACGTACGGTACATTAATTCAAATATATTAAAATTTTACGAGTAATATATAAACTTCAAGACCGAAAAAAAGTTATGTCAACCGCAAGCACAATGAATGTCAACAGATTAAAAAAAATACAATGTAGCCAATAAAGAAAAGCGAAAGTGCACAAAGTTCCAATGCCACAAAAACAGAATTTCTGGTGAAGACTACGAGGAGAAGTCAAGACAGTGGAGTGAAGTGTATTTACTGCCTGGACCATTTCACACTTTTCTACAGGCGGGAAAATAGAAAGTCATCCACGAGTCAAGCCAAATCACTAAGGGGGTGCATTTTAAACAAAAAATTATCAAAATAACACTTGAGAAATCGAGGCCTGAATAATATGTATTAGCCTGGAGTTCGAATTGAAGATGTACTCGCTCTGTGAATGATAATGGATGATAACAACAATAAAAAAAATGAAAATCATCAAACATTAATGTCTGTACGCTTGTATCGACTAGTACTGTTGCCAAATTCTTGGGAGCCAAATCTCAGGGGGGCTCGGAGGTAATTATAACTATTATTGTCGGGAGTCGACATTGGTTGTTGAGGATAAAGCGTGGGAGGTGGTGGGAGATTATGTTGAGCTGGAAGAGGAGGGAGTGCTGCACTGTTGTATTTACTATAAGGGTGGTCACCTGTCAAACTGTTACCAAGGAGAAGCCAACGTAATATTAGTATCAAGTACTATACATGAAAGAAGAGATAAATCAAATATGTAGGCAAGGGGCATATTAATTATTATAATCCTGAATTTTTCAAGTTTTCTTTGTTTTTTCGGGACAGAAGTAAACATTGCACCTTGAACTTGGATTCTTGTAGGGGTTATCCTCTTCACTAGATATTTCACCCGGCTGCAATGGTTTGTCAACTAGGGTGGTCCAAGCACTACCCGGTAAGTCATCCGAAAAGTATCTCCTTCTGATCAACTGAGACCAGTTCCAGATAATAGGATATGTTAATATGGCAATACTGAGAAATAAAGTCATTTTATCATGCTCCATATTTGGTAAAAAAATCATATCAAATTACTCCAGTACCCTCAAATAAATGAATGGACAAGCATCAAAACAGAACACTGTGCAATAAATCCAGCAGTATATCCAAAAAATTGTGGGGGTGAATTCACACAATATAATCAACCCTTTTTACAATCATTCAACCACATTATGAATTCAACATTCTAAAATCAACCGTAGATAGCGAATGAAGTATTCATTTGATAAAAATACTACATTATCATAATTATCTTTTCTTTTGTCCTAAATATTATCTTCACATTTTCTTTTAGAAATACATTTCATGGTTGAATTTTTAATATCAAACACATAATTTCCACCATAAAAAATATGTGAATTAAACGATGAGTTAAAATAAGAATGAATGAAGTACATAATTAGAATTAATTTCAAGTTGCAAACTCAAATATCAAGATGGAATTCATATATATTATGTTTGGGCAAAAATATAATCGGAGATATCATACCGATTATTTCATTGAATCGTCTGGTCATTCTAAATAGTTTAAATCATTCAAATATGGCAAACAAAAAACAAAACTATCCTTGATCATTTCAGACTAGTTTAAAGGTTTTAAAAGAGTTTAAGATAAATAAAACTGCAAGGGATTAAGAAAAGGCTCGAAACCGGGTGAGATGTATTGAATTCCCAAGTGTTACAACTTGGTCAAGAGTACATGTCTAGAATTACACTACTGTTAAATCATATAATATCACTAACACAAACTCACATTCTTACACACACACAACACACACACACACACATACGTAGTATATATTAAGGTTAGGTAGGGTTGGGGGGGCTGCCTTCCTTGTCCCCCACGGCATACGCCCCTGAGCAAATTTTACCCTCAATAAAAAGGGCATTTTTGGAAGTCAAAGAAAAAGTCAGATTTCCTAAGGGAAGAAAGAGGAGCGTGTACATGTACAAGGGAAGAAAAATATACAGACCATGCGAAAAAACTTCTGCAAACCTTCCTTGTCATATCTTGCTTCTTTAGCAGCCTGTTCAGTTCATAACAGTATACATGTTTCGATACATAGTCAGACACAAGCACTTAGATAAGGAATAGTGAGTGTATCACATAAAGGGAAACCAATATATCAGATATCATCTACTGCGAGAATTACTTATGACGCAAATTGAGGATACTTTTAGGGGAGGGAGAAAAAAGAGGAAGTGGGGATAGGTGAGAAAAGAAATGAAGAGAGAGGTGAAACATAAGTAGAAACAAAAGTTCTTCAGTAGAAGAGAAAGGGTAAAAATGGATTGAAGTCATAAAATGGTTTGACAAGTAAGTGAGTAACATGGAGAAAAAATTAAAATAGAGAATTTTATTTCTTTCTAGCTACTTAAGGGGACTGAAGGATTAAAGAGCAGTAAAAATATCCCTGCATTTCTATTTCTAGCCATCAGAGAGATGAAATGAACAGTGACCATTTTCAGGAACTCATGATTTTTTTAAATCTATGCATTTATATCAATTTCTCTTCCACCCATTCCCTTCAGTGGCATTTCAATCCAGACAAACATGGAATCAATCCTTTTGACCTCCCAATTATCCCACCCAGTATTAACAAAGATCCATTTTGATGGTTAACCACTAACCAACAAGATACAGAATATTGTAAAAAGATTCAAGCTTCACATGGTGTTAGGTTGTAGCGCAACAACTATTTTTTGACATTTAATACCAATATCTGAAGTAGATGAAAATAATTGCAAAACTCTTTTACTGACATGGAAATGTTTGTCTAAGCTGTAATGTGAAACTTAATACGAGAAAAAATAAAATACTTGATTATTTTGTATTTTAAGCGGTTTCTTTTCCTTTTGGTGAGCTCATAAGCCAATTCTTTTTACATGAATAATGGATTATGACTTTTGACCAAAAAGGACCTACTTCCATCAAAACATTAGAAGTTAAAAACAAAATAAGAGAGAAAGTCAAGAAAAAACCGCAAAAATGCCTCCATTGCCAGGGAAACTTTCTGTCAAGGGAAGTTCTTCACTTGATGGAAGAAGACCCTGCTTCTCAACCCACTGACGAGCTACATCAACAAGGTTACCACTGCTCCCTCTAGATCCCTCATTTGATGCAATATCTGCTTTATTGGCAATGACGATGTAAGGAACAGGAAGGCCTCCAGGGCCTCCAGAAGCTAGGGGAGCCGAGAATGTTCCTGTGGCAGCTATCTCTGCAGCCCACTTTTGCAAACTTGATTTTGTCCTTCTTTGGGAGAGATCATACACAAAAATAACACCTAAACTAGAGATTTAATCAGGAGACACAAATTAAATCATATATATTCATCTCAGTTGAATTTTATAAAATGCTTTCAATGAATAACTACTTCATTGCATATGCTTCTTTCGCCAACAGTTCTAATGGAAAGGAAAAGAAACAAGTTATGCCAAAAAAGTTTGGCTTAGAGTGCTTTCAACATACTAACGAATTTAGTTCAGATTCCATTCAGATAGCATTCAAAATGTATAACCGAAATTTATTTTTTCAAATCACTTCATTGCATTTTCATGTTTATTTTTGGTAAGAAAACATGGGGAAAAGGTTCATTGCTCACCGTTAATCTGAGAGTAAAATAGAGAGCGACAATCTTTGTATCGATCATGCCCACATACATCCCAAAGCTCAACAAAAAAGTCTCTTTCGCTGTCAGTTTGGATGCTACTTGAAGTGCTACCGTGATTCCCATAAGTAATGTGCTACAAGGAGTACATATAAATAGATTAAATGAAATAACATGCAGCTCCCCTAAGGTGATACTACAACTAGAGCCCCACCAGATCCAAATCTTACCTTCACGCTTACTGAACAACCAATTGTTTGAGAAGGGTGAGTAATGGAAGAGCCTTTGATAATCAGATTAACAAGAGAGGTCTTTCCCACACCTATACAAAAATATTTACAAAGTAAAGGTCAATAGCAAAGACACAGTAGTTGCCTGAAAAGCATTAATGTGCTTCAGGGTAGATGCAATTAATTACCAAATTCGAATATGTGAATGTATTACAGATATGATACATAAAATTCCATCAAGTCTGAGATAGATATAATCATATAAATAAAAGTCTCCATTGATTTCATAGACAGATGGTGCAAAGCTAGAGTTCAAAGCAAACAACAGTTTGAGCAGGTTACAAATTACGATTGCCGACGTTCATGCTTCAATGACAACTGCGAAAGTCCATGAGGCCACACACAATGATAGATTGTTCTTCTTGTGGGGGGTTCAAGGTTTACGAAATTGACTTTTTACGTCAGCTACTCATGAAATTGTAAGTTTTCAGCTACAGTGATGCCGTGATTGTATGCCACTAAGCTTCTGTCAGGATAGAAAGTAAAATAGTTTCACTAGTAATCATTTCTCATACAGTTCACTCTTTCTATATAAGTAATCCTTCTTTTCCTGTTCATTTGTTTATGTTGATCAATTTTCCTTGTTCTATTATATTTGCCTATTGTGAAATACTGATATCTATGCAAATTGACCCCCCACCCATTTACCCTTCTAATCCTCTCCAGTTTAACCTTTTCTCCTATAGGAACATAAATGAGAGGATGGCTTTTAATGAAGACAATATAGGCAATGCATTAAAAGTGTTTAGTAATTTATCACCCCAATACTTTTTCTTGAATCACATGTTTGGTAACGTAGACAAATAAATATATAGGACTGGGAGAGACTTATAATGTATTGAAAATAATAGCATTTGTACCAAATAGATGAGAATATAAAAACCAGCCATGGTTTAAAAAACTCCAGTCCAAGAGAAGAGATCTTAAAGAACATGAAAGTGTCAATGTCAACTGCACGTGAGCACCACATGACTAATACCGGAAAAAAATCCTTAATCATTTGTATTATGTGCTTCACCATATTAAAGCAGTGAGTTTTGTCCTCAACAACAGGTACATGGCTACGGAATCTATTGAAACCTACTCATTTGGAAAACAAACCCACCTTATATTACATCTTAATTTTGTATATGTATCAATAGATTTAAGTGCTTCAACCAAAGATGCTTTTGTTAAAATAACTAATATTCATCTGCCAGCAGCTCCATCAAACAGAAAACACACTTAAGAGACACAATGAACTCAAATCCCTCTAGAAAAGAAAGTACAACTTCCTTACAGCTTAAACAAAGTTGTGTGCCCCCACCTTATTGCAATTAATCAACAGGCCCAGCAAACTAAGACTAAAAGGACAGTGTCTATTCTACTAATTTAGTACTTGTGGGTTTCCATGTTATAATGAGTTGCACAGCATACTGATCTTCCCTAAATACGGACCTCAACTTTGGAGATCAAGTGAGCCTCTACTACAGAGCAGGAGCATATATCACTCATTGACACATTTTCAGCTCCCACAATTTCAAAATCAAGTAACTGCACACAACTCACATTTTCCAACCATTAAATCAATACTCCGTCATCAATACTCCAACAAGTTAAGAAGACTTTAATTGACTCAAATTTGTGACATAAAATGTATATTTTAAGCATTGACACCTGAATCTCCAACAACAAGAACCCTGACTTGTCCACAAGGTGGTCCTCCATTCTGCTCTTTGTTTTCCCTCTCCCTTTCCCTCCAAAACATGGCCTCCTGCTAAAAAACTACAGCTACAAACACGAAGAAAAGCTCATCAAAACTCAAAAGCTCTGACGATCCCTTCCTCAAGTACCCTGACTTTCCTCCACTGGAGACGTCGCCGGGATTTCCTCCACCACCTGTGAGGACGTTACTTTCAAAGAAACCGCGTGAGGCGGTGTTGAGGACAACAGAAACGAAAAAAACTGATCAATCTATTTCTTAAAGTAAGAAGGTTCCGAGTGAGCTCCGATGGAGGACCTTGGTTTTCGGGGGGCTGAATTGCACTCGAGTTTTATGGAATTGTGATCACCAAGACTGCAAACGCGAGGACGGGTGGAACGGCGGCCTTCGAGCAGCAGCTTGAATCTGAAACTCCTCCGGCAGCGACTCTGGCTGGTTGGTTTGTTCAGCGATCAAAGTCCGGAAGGCAGATCGGGGAAGGTCTTTACGATCTGAAAGGGCAGTAGGCCACTTCTATGAAATAAAAATAGGTTAATTATCAAAATAGGATTAAAAAGCACTCACAAATAGGATCAAAAAATAAACAATGATTTCATAGGACTAATTATATGTATCTTGGACAAATATACCCTTATAGCTATTGAAATGTTTTAATTCATAATAAAATAATAAAAAAGTAAAAAAAATCAAAAAAATACTAAAAAATAAAAAAAAAAATTCTATACTGAAAATTTACAGTACGGTGAAGGTAGTAGATAAAATATCCGGACCACCCCTACTTCTATTTGTATGTGTTGAGTTTAATCCAACACGAAATAATAAATATAAATATAAATGTGTATGAACAAGCTATTTTAACGTGGAAACCCGAAAGGAAGAAAACCACGGGACTTTTTGGACTAATGTCCAAGCCACTCTCATTCTCATTAGGCTCTTCTCATCATTAATGGAGTACTAAGCTATCTAGAGAGAAGAGGAAATGGGGAAGAAGAGATCAACCCTTTACATGGAGGGGAACTTCCTATTTATAAATCTACCCTAAAGGGCCAAGTGGGCCAAGATGGGCCGGATGGGCCGAAACTGGAGCTAATGGTCCGGTGATGGGCCTCCTTAATTGGGCTCTACATCGGGGTGATACCTTGAGCCCCTAGACAGTAGTAGGTAGGGGTAATACCTTGGACCCCTGAACAGTACGAGGCCGGGATAATATACCTCAACAGCATGTTTCTTTCCTAATGTTGTTTAGAGATATTGTTTTTTGTGGCGGAGTGTCGTCTTCCTGATGTATATTCTCTGTCATCTTCAGTCTGGGTATTCTTGTGTGCTAATCTCTTCATCAATCAAGAACCTGATTTTCTTCTGCACTAATCTTGAGGTGGATCGCCCCCTTCTTGAACCACCGTTGTTCGAGGAAGATGAGACTACATGGGCTGCTAAGTGCTAACTTTCCAGTGACTGGTGAAACTTGAACAAATTCTACAGTTGACTTTTTACCAATGCCTAGCAAAACTAGGAAGTTTAAGGATGTTTGTACTTGGACTAAAATTTTCTTATCTGATCTCTGTGTATTTTATAACTATTCATGTCTAGTATGGTATGGTCTGATCTGGTATGGGGTGTTCTGATGTGGTATGGGACTGAAAATAGGTAAAGTAAAAACATCCTAATAGTTCATTGATAATTATTATAGTCGTAGCAAGAGTGATCAATCTGTAGGTAGAATTTTCATTTTTGCGGGATTAGGATTCAACATTTTCGATTTGAATTGTCTGTTTCATGCATCATCTCATTGTAGTCTTGAGATATATATGATTATAATTGTTCTTGGTATCGTTGTCAATAATAATTAAGTTACTTCCTTTAAAAAAACTTAGCACTTAATCCCTTTTCTGTCTCTGTTAAAACATACTTGTACTTACCGTTATATTATCACATTTATTTCAAGTGTGAGAAAACCCATATCATCGAGAAAAGAAGAGAGAACGTGTTTCGAGATAGCTGCATGAATAGTGCCCAAAAAATCAAACAAACAATATAAAGAGAGAGGAGAGAGAGGAATGAGTTGAGAAGGAAAAGACATGAAAGAGAAGATATAAGGTAGATGGGGTAAGAATGTGGTAAAAAGGTGTTGATTTTTTAAACCTTATATGCCATGTACATAAGGTGTAAACCCTTGTGTACACAAAGCATTTTAAAAAAAATATATTTTTTAGAAAAAAAATCAAAATGGGATTGACTTGAAATTGGCTCATGACCACCCGTAGAGAGAAATATGTAGAGGGTACCAAAATGAATCGAGGAAATAAGTAACATTGTTAAACACTAAATCGAAAGAGTTGCCCACCCACACGAGGAAAAATGAAGTCTTCATCAATCTCCAAAACTCTACGTGCTCATTTGATTGTTATGCACATTAAATATTTACACACGAAATGATTGCATACAAAGTTTAGAGAAACAATCACTTTGCATGTAAAATATATTAGAGCGTTTGACTAGATGTGTGATTATTCTTAAGTTGCATGAAAAGGCGTTGCAATGCTTTATATTGTTCCAAAAAGGTGGAATCTCCCACCCCAGGAGCCCCCCACCCCAACCCGACAGGATGGTAGGGAGGTTAGTCACGGTGACTCAGTCAGCAAAATGGCAGTAGACTCATACACCCGTGCGCACCAGAGGCCCAGCCTTATTTCAGATTCTGTGACCTCCACCCGGTCGCTGCGGGGATTCGAACTTTGGTCTATTGTTCCAAATCTCTCACCACTCGACCAACTGAGCTACCCGTGCGGGTACGTTACAATGCTTTATAAAAAGCACGTAAAGTAGTTTATCACCCACCGCCACGTAATATACTTAACTTCGTACAATGCAAAATGTTTTTAAAAATGTGTTCTACAATTTACATTAAATAATGAAGTCAAATGATGTGAACCTTTTATGTCCTTAAACTTCGCATGTATACTAATTATTTTAGGGAAATTTTCACAAATAGACTAAAAATGAAAATAATATCATTTTTTTCACTTTTCAAAATTGTTTTCAAAAATAGACTACACAAAGTTCTCTTTCAGAAATAGACTCACACATTGAACTCCAATTAGACGAATCTTCGCTCCTTAAGACCGCAAATTATATCGTACACCGGGATGTACGGTCCTCACCGTACATCCGGGTATTTTTGCAATTAATTACAAATCTGGTGGTAAAGATTAGGGATGCAGAAGGCTGCTCGACGCTCGCTGATGTCTTGGGAATCGATGGATGAGGATCTGCGCACATCTCTCTTCTCCGCCCACCATGGCCTTCCACGCACGAAGCAACAACACCATCGCCGTCTGTCTGCAATCGCCGTTGCACAACCTTCGGATGGAGGCTGTTGATTCCGAACCTAAAGCGGCGGATTCGAGCTTCAGTGTCTGGTGCGTCGTCGGATGAAGTTCACAATCTGTCTGCAATCGCCGCTGCACAACCTTCAGATGGAGGCTGTTGATTCCGAACCTAAGGCGGCGGATTCGAGCTTCAGTGTCTGGTGCGCCGTCGGATGAAGTTCACCCGCCACTGTAGACCACGCCTGATGCTAAAATGAGTTTTATGTTAAATTAAAATGAGTATAACGTCCAAAATGAATGAGCACACAAAAATGCGCTTTTAAAATTTTTGATACTCATTTCGTAAGTTATATATGCTCATTTGGTGGTAATGGTATGCTCATTTAACAGAAAGCTTGATTTTCATCTCTTTTTTTAAGCATGTAATCACGATGATATTGCAAATTAAACTCCAAAATATGGGCGAATTGTAGCAAACTTGTTCTACAAGTTCATACATTTTCCCCAAGAGGTCAAGTAAAGCTTGATTTTATCTCAATAAATGAGGTTTGGTGCTCAATCAAAATATCGTTATGTTAAACTAACAAATCTTACGATTTTCATATCAATAAACATTTTATAAGTTACGTATATACTCATTTGGTACCGATGTTATGCTCATTTTAAAATGTTATATTAATGCATATTTTAAAAGTATCATATTGCATTAAATTCGCATATGGAAATTCATAGAAGTGTATTATAGATATAATTCAATTAGTTTTTATAAAAAAAGAATAAGGAAACAAAATGAATTAGAAGATATGAAGCAGAAATCATGATACTCATTGTTTGCCTCTAAATACTCAATAAAATATGTGAGATGCTCACTAAATGTACACTATTGCTCATTTAGCGGAAACCATATTTTTTCACTTATATTACAAAAATGCCACTGAATTTTTTTTTTGGCTTGTATTGATTGTTAGGCTGTCTTTCTTATTTGTGTGCCGAGTGTCCATACACCCGGATGCACCATATACGTAGTGCCTCCCCGGTTAGATTGCCAAAGAGGAATTGACATTAATGCACGTTATATGCAAAATACTACTCCTCCGCATCTCTTAATTTATTCAAGTATGAGAACACATAAAATTCAAAATATAAATCTGGTATTTTAATCCAATTCATGGGTTTGCTATAATAGATCTTGTTAAAAATAATATGTATAAACACAAGAAAGTTATAGAAAATAGATAATTTTTAAATCTTAAAAAGTATAAATAAAATAAAATGGATTTTTTGAACATATTAAATCTTTTTAAAGAGTAGGAACTTTTGTTTTGATAACTCTAGTTGATTACGGATAGTTGTTGTCACTGTTGATCTCTTTAAGTTTGTTGTAACGATATGAATCCTAATAATATTAATATAAGCGATTTTTCCTTTTAAAGAGTCGAATCTTTATAATAAAATCTAAAATATTCTAAAATAAATAAATAAATAAATAAATCATAAATTATGAAAAACATACAAAAGGGAGAAAATAAAAAATAAGTTATCAAATATTCAAAAAATACGAAAAAGAGTGTGAATTGATTTTTGAAAAAATATCAAAAATACAAATCTGAAAAACTTAAGACAAGCTAAATTCCTAAAATTCGTACAAACTTAAAACTTTTGAATTCTTTGGTTTTAAAACATTAAAAAATGTAAAAAAATTAAAGAGTATGAATTTTGTGATTTGAAAACATTCTAAAAATTCAAAAATAAATATATAAAATGTGAAATCATTTATAAAATTCCAATTGATTTTTATAAAATAAAAAAATCAAAATAAGATTAATAAATTTTTAAAATAAGAAAAATAAAGTAAATTAAAAAATCGTAAAAAATAAATACTAAGAAAAAAAATGTAAAAAAATAAAAATTTGAAAAAAATTGAAAAAATATACTAATTTTATTTTTAAGACTTTAAAAACAGTTGTAAATTTCAGTTATTATTATCATAATTTTATTGTTGCTTTGATTGCATATTGTTGCTTTATGTTTATTTTTGTTGATAAATTTGATAATTTGTTTTTCAATTATTTCTTCATGTTTCATGTTATTGTATAATATTAATAAACTCAAAATTATCAATTTAGGTTCTTCTATATATCCGTATACCCAATTTTTATTCCAAAGATACATCACAGACAAATAGAACCTAAATAAACAAAAAACAAAATATACAATAAACAATATGCAACACAATGCAACAATTAACAACATGATACAACAAAAAAAACAACAAATACCGTGCAACAAAAAGCAACAAAAAACAACATATAATAATAATACAATAAATATATAATTTAATCTATTATTTTAATATATTACAAAAAATATATAAATAAACAAGAAACAAAATATGCAATAAACAATATGCAACACAATGCAACAATTAACAACACGATGCAACAAAAAGCAACAAATACCGTGCAACAAAAAGCAACAAATATCGTGCAACAAATAGCAACAAAAACAACATGTAATAGTATTATTACAATAAACATATAATTCAATCTATTATTACTTCCGTCCCTTAAAACTTTGCAAAAGTTGACCGGCACCGAGAATAATAAAGTAAAAACTGTGTGGTTGAGATTTGAGCAGAGGAGAGAGAAATAACAGAAACCACAAAATATATTATTAAAATGGAAAGTGGCAAATTTTTTTGGGACATTCCAAAAAGGAAAAATGGCAAAGTTTTAAGGGACAGAGGGAGTATTTTAATCTATTACAATATCTATCATATTATTTAGCTTTGTTCTTATAATTTCTTCTGCTCTTTGGCTCTTAATCTTCACTTTCCCGGTGATCCTCATCTCAATCTTATTATCATCATCTTCATCATGTATTTTGTTTGATGAGCCTGCAATGAGAACACAATCACCATCATACATAATCAATTGTTACAAGGTTCAAAATCAAAATGGAAATAACTTAATATTACCACTCACGACATGAAGGTCTTTGAAAATACTTCCACGCTTTGTAGTAAAAAGAACCCATCATCTTAATGTATAGGAGTAAAGGAGACAATAGAAATACCTTATACACAACACATGCTCCAGGAGTACGGTTGTTATGTTCCTTGATTATTGCTTTAACAGATTCTTGACGGTCCAATCTATCACCAATAGTTCTAATGTTACCCTTATGCCTCTCTTCAAAAATATCAGTATCCAGGCTAAGACTAGTGGGGGCTCAAATGGCTTCCATGATGAACAAATGAACTTTATCTTCTTAGTGTGCCTCCAAATACCAGAAATCAAACAAAAGTATAAATATCAATTTGAGAAAGGAACAATACGAAAAGGCAAAAAAGTGTCAATGACATCACCAATCACCTTCAACATTTCATATACGAATTTTGAGTAATACACCTGCAGCAGAAAGAGATAATACATTAATAATTAAGCGCATCAAAGACTTACTTTAAACACAAGATAATCAACACCCTTTGCAGCACTTAAAGCATCTTCTACTCAAAGTTTCTTTTGTTTTAATTCTGTTTCAATTCCTGCCCCAATCTGGATGACAGTAACACCCCCTGATAATTTTGCAATTCTTTCATTCAATTTATCCTTTTAACAATCTTGCTCTGCAACCTCTATAAGATTTTTAAACTGTGCACCACGATTATTGAGTGCTTCTGGTTTGCTACCCTCACCAACAAAGCATGTGGAGTCCTTGGTTAGGCAGCAGTACCAAGGCTGGACTTCCTTAGCAGCCTTGTCTGATGTAAAGCCAATCACTTCAATGAGAATTGCAATATCATCAACATATTAAGATTCTGCTCACCAAATCCGGGAGCTTTCAGGGCAGCAACCTTCAATGCACCCCTAAGCTTATTAACCATCAAGGTTGCCCAAACCTCTTGCTCAATACCTTCATCAACTATTAATATTGGAAACTCACTTCTCATAGCGTCTACTAACACATTAATAAGATCCCTTGCATTTGTTATTTTTTCCGACTAGTAGCAATTTACAGTTCTCGAACTCAACAAACATACATCTGTAACAGAACCGCAAACATCAAATGAAAGCATTCAATATGACCGAAAGAGCTAACGAAAACCCTATTGGTTTCTCTCTCTCAATTCCCGTTAATTGGAAACCAGAAATAAAGCTTAACAATACGAAAGTAAAACAAAAATTAAAGAGAAAGTAAAATACTAAAAATCTCAAACACATACATACCTGCAAATTGAAAACCAGCACGCAATTAAGCAGCGATTCAGCAAGCATCCGTGTAGCCGAGCAAACAGGGGCAAAGGGCGGAAATCAGAGACGTAGAGGGCAGAGGGCAGAGGGCGGAAGGCGGAGCGTGGAGCCGCAGAGGGCGGAGGCCAAAGGCGCCGCCAGCGCTGGGCGGGAGGGGAACCGCCATACACATCTCAATCTTCTGTTCAACCGTTCGTGAGTTCGGAACAAGGATTGAGGCGCAACCATTAACGATCTGATTTAAGATATAGGTCATTTTTGAAATATAAAATTAAAAGTGAAAAAGTGAATGTTTACGGGTGAAAAGTAAATTAACGGAGGACACAAACGAAATGTAATTAGAGAATGTGGATTTAACGTGATATTTCCACATTATTTTACGCGATGAAGCCTACTTGGCTACTTCACTCATTTCTCATCGGTCATCACCATCCTCACTCTTTTATCATCATTTGGCTACTTGGCTACTTTCCTATTAAAACTTCTGACTTTCCTTTTTCGTTCGTTCCAATTAAAACTTACACTTTTCCTTTTTAGTAAAGAATTTGTGGTTCACAACATTTCTTACACATTTCTCTTTTCTCTGCACAACTCTCCACCACACAATACACATTATCTTAAATTGTGTGTCAAACCTATTTGGAAGATAAAATAGGAACGGAGGGAGTATTATTTATTTACTTCCGTACGAGGAAAAAGCTTATTTCTATGACCATAAATAGCACTCCAGGCTTGAATTCAAATTAATTCCACATTTCCACTATCAAAACTTCAACAGAAGAAAGAAAGTCAATTTTTGTTTATTTCATGCATGCATGAAATTTTCTTCTAAATTGGGATGGGAGTGGCCGATCAACCTAGGGATGGACCTGGGCCGGGCTCGGGCAGGCTTTTTTTATTTGTTGAGACCCGGAACCGGCCCGGAATTGTACCAGGCCTGGGTCAGGTCGGCCCCAAACCGAGTCGGACCGGGTACCTAATTTTTTTTTTGCGTTTCTAATTACTTCCTACCCCCACCCCCCAAACACCTCCAAAACACCCATCCAATCCATTTACCTCCCAAAGATTTTGAAAACAAAAAAAAATATTTGGCCCGGACTCAGCCCAGCCCGACCGGTACCAAAGAACCCCATACCCCTGACCTGGCCCAAAACTCTCCGGTTCAGGCCCTAGGCCCGGTCCCACATAATGGAGGGCCAGTCCAGTTCCAAGCCAGTTGACCCAGCCCAAGTCTATCCCTAGATCAACCTAGGCATGGACCAAACCAGGGCTGACCGAGATTGGAGTTTTGGGATGAATGCCTGTTACCAGCCCGGGTTTGAACTGGGACCGGGTCATGTCCGAGTAACTTTTAAAAAAAATCTTTTTTAATTTATTCCTACCCCCACCCCAAACCCCACCAAAACACCCATCCCAACTCACCTAACAGCAATCCAATGCCAAAAAATTTAAGAAAATAATAATTTGGCCCATCCCAGGCCCGACTCGGCCGGTCCACTAAAATCAGGGCCCATAGCCCGCCCTTATCCCCGGATTGGGCCCCAAGTCCTGGTCCCGGTCAGCCGGGCCCGGTCGGTCCAGCACAAGAATGGGCCGAGCCGAGTACCAGGTCGGGCCGAACCAGCCCAGTCCATCCCTAGATCAACCAGGACCGGCCCAAAACTATGAATAGGTGTACCAGTCCGAGCTGCATTTTTTCCACAGGACTGGCCCAGAACCACTCTGTGTCCATGCAGACATCAGATACTCATTCTTTAAGCAAAAGTGCAAATTCGGTTACATTACTGCTTCCCAGAATCCCAGCTCCCACCCCTGATTTGAATCAGCCAAGGTAATTGATTCTTTTAAACCTCACTTGTGCAACCATGTATACTAACGCATCAACTCTTGTAAAATCTTGGGGATGAGTTCTGCACATAAAAATGCTATAATGGTGACCTTACCGGTGGGCGTAGCTGAACTGGTAGCAAGGGAGTGCCACAAGTAGGGATGGACCCAGGCCGGTTCGGTTCCGGTTCCGGTTCCGAGCCAGGCCCGGGCGGGCTTTTTTTGTAGAATCATGGGCCCGGAACCGGCCCGGGGTGATACCGGGTCCGGTCCGGGTCGGGCCTACCCAGCCGGGTTGTGGGCCGGTTCGAGCCGAGCCCGGGCTATTTTTTTTTTTTTAATTCAGATTAGTTGGACATAAAAAATTTAAACTGTATTAATTTGAAACATGTAGTACAATTAGAAATTGAACAAAAATTACAACATGAAATACACTTTTTTAAAAATAATAATCAATCAGAATTTCCGTCATCTTCAGTTGTTTCTTCCATAAAGTGGCGGGTGGGTTCAATGCTAATTTCTTGAGTTCTACGTTTGGCCTTCAACCAATCGTGGAAGCAAACAGGCGTCTCAAGAGAGTTTGCGCTCAATCTCGTTCTATAATCCGTTAGGACGTTGCCGGCCGCACTAAACTCTTGTTCCACAGCAACTGTTGATACGAGTATTGCTAGCACTTGCTTAGCCATCTTTGATAAGATCGGGAACGTTCTCTCTTTTTCCTTCCACCACTGAAAAACGTCAAAGTCATCCCCTTCTTCATACTCAACAAGAAATGTTAGATACAAAGAAAGCTCGTTGATCGAGCTTTGTTCATTAACCGGAGTTGATTTGCTTTTTTTCATAAGATTGCCAAATGCAGATTTCAAAATTGATTTTCCTTTAGATGAAGAAGATGTTCGTGGCGGGGGAGGGGATGCGTTACCATATTGTGCATGAAACTCATTAAATAATTGATATAATAAATTACTAACCTCTTGAAATTGTTGTTTCGGGATTATAGCCTTGTCGTCGTACATAGGCAATGGACCAAAAAAAGAAGCATAATAGTAATCTAAACATTGCTCCAAAGCAGCAAGTCTAAAACGAGGATCAAGAATAAATGCAATACTATATATATGCGGAATATAGGAATAATATTTTAAAAACTTATGTTTCATGAAGTCACAAAAATAACTAACGTAAGCGGCATCTAGTGGTGGACTCGGTTCGGGCCGGGCCCGGTTCGGGCCTAGAACCGGCCGGGCCTCGGTTCACGGAAGGCAGGTCCGGAACCGGCCCGGATAACCCCGGGTCCGGTTCGGTTCGGGTCACCCGCCCGGTTCACGGGCCGGGCCTTTTAATTTTTTTATTATTATTATATATTATATATTATATTATTAGAATAATTCTTATTACAATTACAATATATTATATTCGAATTCAAGTATATTTATTTCAAATAAGAAGTACAATTGAGAATTAGGATGAATTTAAAAAATGTTTCAAGTATAATTGTACAATTGTTTTCAATAATAGGAGATTTATATTTCTTACCAATTTGGGTTGTAGTCGTTGAACGGCCCTCGTCCTCCAACTCTTGCTCATCATCCGGAGTCCCGTCGCCCCCCGTGTCCTCCTCCGCATCGTCATCCTCGAGCTCCTCTTCATCGATGGTTGTCGGGAATTGTTGTTCTTGTGCAAAACGTGGATCATTTTGGGACAATAGGTGTTGTAGTTGCTCGTCGGACATCATCATATCATCTCGCCGTTGGTAATCCGTTTCAAAATCATCTCGACTTTGAAAAGAAGACTCGGCCCGCGCTTTACCTTTGCCTTTGCATGAAGTAGATCGAGTCGGTGCAATCTCCCTCTTGCGATTGCGTTGGAGATTACCCACATCTACAGAATGTCTACCACGCTCCATCTTTAAAATTGAACAAATATTAGCAATTAACTAATATGAGACATGTAAAAATGTAGCAATTAACTAATATGAGAAATGTAAAAATTAATTACTTTTTTTTACTTTAATGAGAAATGTAGCAATTAAGTAATATGAGAAATGTAAAAATGTAGCAATTAAGTAATTAACTAATATGAGAAATGTAAAAATTAACTATTTTTTTACTTTAATGACAAATGTAGCAATTAACTAATATGAGAAATGTAAAATGTAGCAATTAAGTATTTAACTAATATGAGAAATGTAAAAATTAACTACTTTTTTTTACTTTAATGACAAATGTAGCAATTAACTAATATGAGAAATGTAAAAATGTAGCAATTAAGTAATTAACTAATATGAGAAATGTAAAAATGTAGCAATTAAGTAATTAACTAATATGAGAAATGTAAAAATTAACTACTTTTTTTTACTTGAATGAGCAATGTAGCAATTAACTAATATGAGAAATGTAAAAATTAACTACTTTAATGAGCAATGTAGCAATTAACTAATATTAATATGAGAAATGTAACAATTAAGTAGTTTAAGTAATATTAATATGACAAGTGAAACAATTAACTACTTTAACTAATATTAATATGACAAATGAAACAATTAACTACTTTAACTAATATTAATATGACAAATGAAACAATTAACTACTTTAACTAATATTAATATGACAAATGAAACAATTAAGTAATTTAATAGATAAATGAGAAGTCTAACAATTAACTACTTTTATAAAATGTATGTATAACTATATATAGTATATATAATATAATGTGTAAAGAATATAGTATATAAAGGAGAAGTCAATGAGTATAAGTATATATAGTATATATAAATATATAATGTGTAAATATATTATAAGTAATATATAATATAATGTATAACTATATATAGTATATATAATATAATGCGTAAAGAATTATAATATGAATGTGTATAAGTATATATTTATAAGTAGATAATTAATATATAAGTAGATATAATAATTATATAAATTATATATATGTAGAAAGAATTTGGAGAAGATGAAGAAATGAAGAATGAAGATGATTGAATATGAGAGATTGAGAGAATAGAGAATTTAGAGAGTAGGAAGAGTTGTAGAAGAAGAGGTGTAAAAAATGTATAGAAAATAGGAGTATAAATAGGTTTTTTTTGTATACCCCACCCCCTAACCCCCCAGACCCCCCCCCCCCCCCCTCCTATGCTCCCAACGGCTATAGAGCCGTTTGGGAGCTCTCCCAACGGCTATAGAGCCGTTTGGGAGCTCTCCCAACGGCTATGGAGCCTTCTATTATTTTTAAAAAAAATTAAAATTGTTGCCGTTGAGGCCCGGCCGGGCCGGTTCACTGAAATCCAGGCCCGGGACCGAACCGCTTGAAGACCGGGCCGGGTGGCCCGAACCGTGAACTAACCGCCTCACCGGGCCGGGCCGGGCCCGCACAGTAGCGGGCCGGTCCGGTTCCGGGCCGATTGGCCCGGCCCGAGTCCACTCCTAGAGGCATCAGCAAATTCACAAAAAGCGCCGGCGGGATTAACAGCTTCAACAAAAAATTGGTTTATGGTAAGTTTAAAAACATGACTAAAAGTTTGAGTTGCATTATTAAAATACATCAAAACATTCAAAACTTTTTCACAAGTGTCGATGTCGGCCGGGTTTATAATATAGTTAGCATATTCTTTTAAAAAAGCATGAAAATGGTTTTTAAATCTAATAAGCACCTTAATTAAGTTATAAGTACTATTCCAACGAATAGACAAATCTTTAGGAAAAGCACAGTATTTGACACGTCTTTCTTTCAAATAATTTCTTCATTGCATCTTAAGTTGAGAACTAGCCCAAATAAGTTTAATCCCCCCTTCACCACCCATCTCCCAACGCCGCTAGGTCGTCCTTTACACATAAATTTAAAATATGACATGCACAACGCTGATGAAAAAACCTACCCATCAAAGAAGATGAACCACACAATTCACGCAATCTAGGAATAGCAGCAGTATTATTAGTAGCTATATCAAAACCAATTGCAAACACCTTATTAATCAAATTATACTCGATTAAAATACGCTCAATGAGGTATATAAATTATACTGGTGTGTCTATCATTAAATTCATGAAAAGCAAGAACACATTTATGCATACACCAATCATCATCAATATAATGTGCAGTCAAACCAAAATAATATAAATGATGATGAGTATCTTCCCATATATCACTACATATACTAACACGTCCATCAAAGTTTGCAAAAAACGTTTGTAATTTTTGCTTTTCCAAAACATATTGCCTTATAACTTCTTTTTTAATTGTTTTGCGACTATAGTTTCGAAATTGGGGATTTAAAGAACCTTGAGCATATTCTTTTAAAGCAAGACTTTCAGAAAAAATAAAAGACAAATTTTCTTCAACAATTAAATGAGACATACCAGTCAAATGTCTTTGATCATCATAGGAGAAATTATCAAAGGGTTGGCCAGTTGCAAACCTTGAAATTTGTGTTTGTCTTCCCTTACCTTTGTCCGATTTCACATATTCCGCCGGGTACTTGGCCTTAAGATGCATTGTGGCGCTCCTGTACCCTTCAGAAGACCAGAAATTCCCAAGTTATACTTTTTGTTGCAATGCTTGCAAGTGGTGTACCATATCTCGGTTTCGAAGTCTTTAACTTTTGTAAAATTTACCTTAAAGACAGATTCAGATTTCCCACCGGCTTGGGAAGAAGTAGCCACTTCCGCTTCCTCTTCTTCATCATCCGGTGTGCCATGAACCTCGTCCTCAACCGTTCGCGGATCCCTCTCCTCTGCATCATCCTCCTCAAGCTCTTCTTCGTCAATGGTTTGCGGGATGTCTTGTTGATGAAAAAAACCATTGATTTTGTTGCAATAGTTGTTCTAGTTGCTCATCGGACATCGCATCCCCATATCTTTGGTTGTAATCCGCATCAAAATCATCTCGGGTTTGAGATGAAGACCTCGGCCTTCTCTTACCTTTGCGTGACCTTGAATGATTCCTCACAATCTCCTTTGTTCGGTTGCGGCGGAGGTTACCCATATCTACAGAAGCTCTACTACGCTCCATATTAAAAATATAAAAAATATTAAATTCGAATAACAATTAAGCAATTAATTTCAAATTAACTAGTTTACCAATTAACTAAAATTCGAACTATTTGTTTTACAATCTAACAACTTTATTTAACAAGTTTAACAATTAACTAGTTTTTATAGAGATTAATAAATGTAACAATCAACTACTACGATAAGAGATTAATAAATGAACCAATTAACTAGTTTAAGAATTAAACAATTAATTTTGAATTAACTAGTTTACCAATTAACTAATTTTTATAGGAGATTAATAAATGTAACAATTAACTACTATGATAAAAGATTAATAAATGTAACAAACTAACAATTAACTAGTTTAACAATTAATTTCGAATTAACTAGTTTACCAATTAACTAGTTTTTATAGGAGATTAATAAATGTAACAACTAACTACTATGATAGGAAATTAATAAATGTAACAATTAGATAATTAGTGTATAAGTAGATATACTTAATATATATATATACACACACATATATATATATATATATATATATATATATAAGTAGATAATAAGTAGATTAACTATTAATATATAATATTATGTTTATAGTATATATAATATAAGTATATTACTATAAGATTAGTAATACACTTATATATAATACTTTAATATATATAAGTATATATTAAGTATATCTAAAATGTAAATATAAGTAAATAAATTAGAGATGATTATATATGTAAATATAATATAATATATGTAGTTATAAATTTGAGAAGATGAAGAAGGAGAAGATTAGTAGAGAATAGAGATTAGAGAGTAGGAATATTTGGAGAAGATGTGTAGTAAATTGTATAGAAAAAATGGAGTATTTATAGTTTTTTTGTACCCCCACCCCACCCCAAACCCACCCCGGGACCCCGGGAAGGTTCCCAACGGCTATATAGCCGTTTGGGTTCAATCGCAACGGCTCTAAGGCCTGTTTGGATGGCCAAAAGAAATTTTTTTTTTTAAAAAAAAACTAGCCGTTGGCCCGAACTGGCCGGGCCGGGCCTCCAATTTTCAGAACCGTGCCCGAACCGCTCCCCTCCCCCGGGCCGGGTCAAAGCCCAAACCTCATTATCCTTAACCGGGCCGGACCAGGCCGGGCCCGCACAGTGGCAGGCCGGGCCGATTCGGGCCGGCCCGACCCAGTTTGGTCCATCCCTAGCCACAAGGGTTAAATCCCGTGTTTGAATCCTGGCAACTGCGATGAGGGGTTACAATGCTAAAAATGCATAGGGCCTCTGCAAGTACGGGGGACAGAACCTCACTCTCTATCTGTCAGATTGAGATTATAGTTAAACTTACATCCTACCAACGTGTCGTCCGGTCGAGGTTGGGGGTAGGTATGGACTCGGGCCGGGTGGCCCGACCCGGAACCGGCCCGGGACCGGTACTATTCCGGCCCGGCCCGACCCGGTGGCCCGGTCAGTGACCGGTCCGGGTAGGCCCGGCCCGTGGGTTTTCCGGTCCGGGCTCGGGTCACCCAAAACAAGGCCCGACCCGGCCGGGCCCGGGCCCGGTTCGAGCCAAAAACATTTTTTTTTGCAATTTTTTTTAAAGTTTTGGGTTGGGCTGGGTATTTTGGGCCATTTGGGGTGGTTTGGGGATTGGGGGTGGGAGGGGGGTTACTTAGGAAGAGGAAAACAAAAAAAAATTATAATGGGCCCGGCCCGGCCCGGCCCGGACCCGGACCGGACCCGGTGGTTACCCGGGCCGGTCCCGGGTCCACCATTTCTGACCCGCCGGCCCGCCCGGGCCTAGGCCCGACCCGGACCCGAGTCCAACCCTAGTTGGGGGCCCTCAGCCCTCAGGGATGGGGTGTCATCCTTTTTTTTTTGCTATGACGGTGACCTCAAAATAGTCAAAATAGATACATGCTATAATGGTGTCCTCAAAATAGTCAAAATTGACAACCCAGCTCACAATCACGTACACTAGGATTGTTCATTTAGCAGACTTAAAATCCCAGAAGCGAAAGAAGGAAATGATTATATAAAATTAGAAAACAATATAAAGGTTGAAAACTTTTAGGGTTCAACTTTTCCTCTTCTTGCTTGATTTGGATGAGAAGTCATTCTTGTTTCTCTTCTTCTCACCCTTATAGCCTGTATCAACCTTCCTTCTGTTGGACTTCACACTGATCACACCACCTGGGATTACCTTTCCTCCATTTTGTAGGGCATTCTTGAAATCAGCTTCTCTATCTATGATTGCATACCCTTGAAGTTGATCTGGGTCCAATAAACTATCATCCACTTTGGCATTCATTTCCTCCTGGACCTGTTTTGCTGCGTTGTTGAGATCATCGTCCAATGATATAGCATGAGGTTCCATCTTAATTTCTTTTAGGCGAGATACAGTTGAATCAATCTCCTTGGAGGCAAGGTCATACAAGTACTTGTAGAACTTCTTCATTGTTTTTATAAATAGAGACAAAATTTGCTGTCTTTCTAGATGCATTTCTACCTGAAAGTAGTGAATAGGGAATCTCAGTATATAAACGCGTAAACAAGGTACATAACTTGTATCTGTTGATCCATGCAACCTCAATTTCAGAAACATCTTTATCCTGTAACCCGATACAAAGCAAAACAGAAGCTTGGGCATATGAAATTGAAACTGGCAGCTTCTCGGAGAAAAACAAGTGCGCAAGTATTGAGACCAAATCCAGAATCTGCAGAATCCACAACATCACTCTGTTCAATTTTTTGTTGTAAAAGAAAACAAAGCTAAAACCATTAAATTAACAAGTAAATGTATCTCTATCATCAATGATTAGTGAACAAGAAAATGTAATATAAAAAACATAAAGCATTCAAACTGGAATTTAGAAAAATCCCATTTTATATGCACATTATGTTTGTGTACAACAACAACATTACCCCAGTGCCGCAAAGGCTCCCCACCTACAGTGGGGTAAGGGGGTCAGATGTACGCAGCCTCACCATTGTACTAAAGCACATTATGTTTGTGTGTGAGAGAGAAAAGAGTCGCTCCAAACACATTCACTGGACCATATAACAATAATAAAAGCATTGAATGTGACGGATAAAAGCATTGATTTCCCTCTTTCGCATACTTCAATAGTGATGTCTAAAATGTGCTATCACAGTTTCACCCTCACCGATTTCAAGTATTCAAAAACATTTTTGACACATTTCAAGTATTAGAAAAAGATGCCGTACCCATGGAAAATCTACAAGATTGCTTGTGTAAGCTTCAAGCCTCTTCATATCATGTGGTGAAAAAATTCCATCAATTGATTTCAAAAGTCCATCTGAACAGTCAGCATCCGCAAAATTGATCTTAGGATCCAATACACTGCAACACAAGCCATCCAATAATAAGCATATATTAAAAAGACATCAGCCAACTAAAAGAAAAAAACACATTGACAAACCTCATAGCAAGCTTGTAGTCCATAGAACGGAAATTTTTATCGAGCAGCCTTGAAAATCTCTTCTTAAAATCTTAGGAAAATAATACAGAAACATATAATTGCATCAGTTAAAGAAAATGATATGCAGTAAAAATCCAAAGTACACAAGGAAAATTGTGAGTTTGTGACTTCGGTTAACCTTGGTAAAAAGGACCAAAAAAGCCCCACTCATGGTTTTCATCAACTTCAATATCATCAGCATTCAATGGCTTTAACACCATGCATGTGTGCTCCCCAGTCACACTATTCTGAATCACGATAGGGTATTACAACAGCAATTGTGTCAGTCAAATTTAGAAAGCAACAGAAAAAAGTATACACAATAAAATCTAAAACCTGAATAACATTAATCAGTAAAAAACTTAACTGGGCTATAGCCAATGAAGAATGGGCCGAATTTCTGTTTTCTCCAGAAGCGAAAAAGGTCCAACGTAAGACCAAAGGAGACTCCAATATAGTGGAGTTTCTCAGGCCTCCGTTCACGAAGTGGTACAAGTAAAGGTGGAAGGTCTACCCTCGGTTTTATATTTTCCTCCAGTAGAGAGACCTGCAATGGTGGATTCAAGTTGTTCAGTAGCATACTAAGTGCAAAAGAAAGAATCAGAAAATGTCTTCAAATAATAGGTTCTTAAAGTTCTTGTTTGGTCGAGCCCATGGCATCTTCAAGAAAACACACTTTTTCTTTTATCTACCTCAGGAAGAGAACTATATACTACCTCCGTCCCTTAAAACTTTGCCAAGTTTGACCGGCACGGGGATTAATAAAGTAAAAACTGTGTGGTAGATGTTTGTGCAGAGGAGAGATAATTAATTGGAATCACAAATTCTTTACTTAAAAGAGAAAGTGGCAAAGTTAGTGGGACATCCAAAAAAGGAAACTTGGCAAAGTTTTAAGGGATGGAGGGAGTAGTTTTTATGTTCGGCCTGGATTCTAACTTTTTGGAGCATATAACCTCCAAAATATATCACCTCAAGCTAAAAATAAAGGATTTTCAATATCAAATAGTAAAATAATAATGGCAGAGTGCAATAACTAAAAATGAACCTTTTCTGCAGCTTCAATTACGTTGACTGGTGGATTCTGTAATACATCTTCAACATCATCGAGTTCACAAATCTGAGTTAACTGACCCTCAAAGTATCTGCAGGCAATATGTTCTAAATTTCAAGAGCCCATACATCTAGCATCTCTATTTCTACACAAAACAAATGTAAAATTTGAAACACTGTCAACAACTCTATTCGCTGGAATCCTGTTGGATGTGGGGTATAATAGGTGCTAGAAACTGTTTGAAGTAGGAAAAGGACGGAAACGTAGTTTTGATTCCAATATCCAGTACATTAGCATATCACATGGACTTTCAATCCAAACAAAAAATAGTGTTGTGCTTGTGTTATTTAGTCAAGCTTGGGCAAATGCCACCCCTAATATTATCTATCTTGAGCCATTGTCATCCCATGATACTTTCGTGCGAGTGGGGAAACCCCATAAGGTGCCCCTTTTTAAATGATATCTCATTAGTCTTTCCGGTGAAGGTTGCAACAAGAAAGCTATCCAGGTTATGACTTTGCCACTACATTTTTTGCATGAATATTTTTTCATCATCACAGTACACTTTTATCCAAACTAACTGTAAAACCTAGAAAAAACTCATAGATGCCTAAAGAAAACTACCTCACAGAAACAAGTGAATAGGAAAACAGGAAAAGCATGGTTTCCATGTTCACAGACGCACACAAAAAGCACAATGAAACAAGATATACAGGAAAAAGAATAGCCATCCGCATCCAAAACTTGGGTTCTTCCATGAAAACAAGAAGTATGTGCATAAGGAGTCATTTAAGAACATAAAAGGTATCTCGTTTTTTGGATAACTGAAAAACAACGAAAAATATATTAACTAATTCTGCTTTTCAAATTTAGAAAACAAAAAACATGTTTACTTAACCAGCTTTCTGGTTTACATAAACACGTAACAGATTTTTCAGAAAACTAGAAAACGTTTTTTTTGTGTGTTCTTCAAAAACAGAACTTTTTTATAAACTAAAAACTCACCTAGAACTACTTGATTATCACATATTCCAACAATGATGATCCTTACCAACAACCCCACAAGTAGCCTCCATCGCCATTGATAATGACTCCACAACCCCACCCCCACCCATCACAAAAACAAACCCTCTCCTGCCAACATTCATCCCTCATGACCCCAACCACTTCGAGTACCACCATAGTTATTACTATTAACTATAGAAACTGTTGAATGAGTAACAGCCGATAAGTGCTATTACCAAAGGTGACTTACATAGCCAGTGACGGGAGATTAGAGGTGTAAAAAAATATTAAAGTTGTAGTTTGGTTTATAACGCTGTCACGTCAGAATTTTGGTATACCAAAATTCGACATATAGACTTGTCGATGTACCATTATTTTGTCTGTTTACCAAAATTTGTCAGTATATCTGCAAATTATTTGGAACGGTATCTTTACGAATTATGCATAACCCATAACTTTCATTGTGTTGATAGTATGAATTTCAAAATTCGGCGTCTACGAAAGCAACCCTACCACTAACCACCACCACCGGTAGCAACCATTACTGCAAATGCTAATGACCAACGCCGTCACCTCCTATAGCCGCTACTACCATCTCCCAACAACTGATAGGAACTCTAATTTTGTAACAGTAAATTGATCGTAAAATCGTAGCAAGGAAGAAGACGATACAGACGAGGCGCTTCGAGAGGCCTCAACTCTCCCAGATCCCAATTTCCCAATCCAAAATCTGCCTTCCTTCTTCTTTCTCCCTCCCTTCTATTTATACCCTTACTTATGGGCCAGTCCAAAGTTAACTAGTACCTGGCCCAGGACCTCTAATATACTATCACAATTATTTAATATTATTATAATATTCTTATTATTATTCTCCTTAGCCCATGATCCTAACATATCTCCCCCATTGGACAACCACCTTGTCCTCAAGGTGGGTGGTATGAAACAGCCCTAACCAACAGCTTCTTCTTCATCCTGGCGCCTCTTCCTTCCCAATACCTCACTGCTAGCTGAACCAGAAGCTTCAGTACTTGTTCCTTCAAAATCACAAATGGTGCTGCTGCAGAAGATATGTCGAGTGCAGTTTTATTTGTTGCAATAGCCTTCAAGTACTCACTAGCTACAAGTGTTTCCCTGTTCTCATGAGACTCCTCAAGGATTATAACTTCTGAAACTATCAATGTGCTGGATGCAGATTTGATGTTACTCAAGTTACTCAATTCATTGTCTGCAACAAGCCCTATGCAAAGTTCTCCATTTTTTCATCCACTTTTCTGTACAACAGCTAGTATCAATGACAGAATTACTTGTAATAGCAGGATTTGTCTCATAAAACTTCAACAGCTGACAGCAGTTATCCTCAACAGTGCTGTCATGCGATTTCAGATTCTCTAACCGCCAAAGTCCCAAATCTGAGAATTTTTCTTCTTTCCTTTCCCCTATAGGCTGAAACCCCAGTGATGGCGTTAACTGATTAGCAAAGCCAAGTCCAGAACCCTTGCTTCCTCTCCCATCCGGGCCAGAATCAATTACAGTACGGACCTCATCAATTAGAAGGCTATGCTCAACCACCAGAAGCTTTCTGAATGGTATAGTTGCTTTAGTCTCTTTAGAAACAATTTTTTGAGTAAACCCATTCGCAGCCATAGCAGAATTTGTGTCCATGCCCTGAACACCAGCATTCCCCTCAACCTGAATCTGCTCGTCAAGGAGTACTGAACTAGAAAAAACTTCAACTTCCTTTGACACTTCACTCATAGACCTTAGATTGACAGTAACATTTTCAGAAGTTGTCGATTGCGATTTGGAAGTTTCTTCGTGCGACGCACTTAGTGACGAATTCTTACGGTGTCTAAGAGGACTCCTGGCTCTGTCTCTATGTCGCTTGAGTCTGTGACGAATTTTGCCCAACATGTGGCGCATCTCCTTCATATGTCGATCTATATTGTCAAAACTATTTCCCATTCGAGATGTCATATAGGATTCCTCCATAGCTTCAGGTTGTTGATGCTCTGGTATGATCGATGGTTTGATTCTCATCCTCCAGGAAGAAACTTGCTCTGATACCATTGATAGGAACTCTAATTTTGTAACAGTAAATTGATCGTAAAATCGTAGCAAGGAAGAAGACGATACAGACGAGGGGCTTTGAGAGGCCTCAACTCTCCCAGATCCCAATTTCCCAATTCCAAAATCTGCCTTCTTTCTTCTTTCTCCCTCCCTTCTATTTATACCCTTACTTATGGGCCAGTCCAAAGTTTCTAGGCCCAGGACCTCTAATATACTATCACAATTATATAATATTATTATAATATTCTTATTATTATTCTCCTTAGCCCATGATCCTAACAACAACGCACCGCCACAGAACACTATCAGTGTTGTCAATCACTGCTGCCTCTGAATGTGATCCCGACACTATATATATGTATGTGTGTTTGTGTGTCTTGGTCAAAAAAGATATTTCATAAATTAGAAAACTTGAAATAGAGAATGAAGAAACTAGAAAACGTAAATAGAAAACAGAAAATAGATAATAGGAAAACAGAAATAGAAAAGAGGAAAATAGAAACTGAGAACTAGAAACACAAACAGATAGGTGGGAAACAGTTTCCTTTAGTAAACAGGCCCCAAGTGTTAGTGACTTGCCGGCAAAACCTTAAAGGAAGAGAATATGAGTTACCTTGTTAACAGTTCAACAGCAGCAGAACCATATCCAAGCTGCAACAAGACAGACAGTTTAGGCAAACCAGTTGGACAACAGAAAATAGCACTTTCTGAATAAGTAAAAAATCAGACACATTTGTTAAAAGTGAAGTGCAACCATTACCTTCATTGCAGTTGGATGTGTGGCAATGCGAACAATGCGAGCACCTGAAAGACTAGGGAAAACGGTGTCATTAAACTGCTGAAAAAATTTCCATGGTATTTGATCTCCAGATGGTTGGCGCCCAGCACTTAAACTTTTCATAACGGATTCACGTGAAATCTGACCCTCAAGGGAGACCTGCAGATGAAGTTATAAACTATGATTCAAAACACTAGTCGTATACTAGACAGAAACTGCAAGAGGACTAAATAAGTAGAAACAGTTTTATATATGACAATCCGAGTGGGTGTTAATTGATCCAGTCCAGCATAAACTGGATAAAGTAACCACATCTCTAATAACCTGCTTCACCATAGTAGAGTATTGATAATCAGAGAGCAACAGAATAGAAGAATGATCAGTTTATTATTGAGTTTGAATAGTTCACATTACAGAGTATTTATAGACTTGGAATATACTGCTAACAACTAACTAACACACGAGGAGAATGCTAACAGTAGTTAGTTAGTTAGGTACAATAGTGTTAACAGAATATATTCCTAATATTCCCCTCTCAAACTCAGTGTGATTTATGTGTAAACTCAATCACATTGAGTTTGTTTTTCAACTCAATAAATCTGGAGGGTGAAAGTGGTTTAGTCAGCACGTCTGCAACTTGATAGGGACCAGGAATGTGCTGCACTTGAAGTCTTTTATGAAGAATGTTTTCTCTGACAAAGTAGAGATCAAGTTCCATATGTTTGATTCTTGAGTGAAAGACGGGGTTGTGGGCTAGATGAACTGCACTGAGGTTGTCAGAATAGATTTGAGGAGTACAGTGTGGAACTTGAATCTCCTGAAGTAGGTACTGAATCCATAGAATCTCAGCTGCAGTGTCACGCAAGCTTCTGTATTCTGCTTCAGCTGAAGACCTGGCTACACATACTTGTGTCTTGACCACCAAGAGATAAGATTAGGTCCTAAGAACACACAAGAACCAGATGTTGATCTTCTGTCATTTGGATCTGAGGCCCAATCAGCATCACAGAAAGCTCTTAGTTGAATAGGTAATTTTGAAATGATTGGTTGCAGTAGAAGACCATGTTTAAGTGTACCAGAGAGGTACCTTAATATACGTTTTACTGCCTTCCAATGATCTTCTAAGGGAGATGCCATAAACTGACACACTTTGTTGACTGCATAGCTAATTTCTGGCCTTGTTAGAGTAACATATTGTAGAGCTCCTACAATAGATCTGTAGCGAGTGGGATCAGTTACATAGTTACATCCTTCTTTGAGAAGTTTGCAACTACTGAGCATAGGTGTTGTGATGCCTTTAGAGTCTTTCATGCCTGCTTTTTCTAACAGATCCCTGATATATTTTGTTTGTGAGAGATGTAAACTGCCATCAGGAAGTCTTTGAGTTTCAATCCCCAGAAAATAGTCAAGCTCCCCCAAATGTTGTAGTGAAAAGTTAGAGTATAGTTTTTTAATAAGATGCCGAGTAGCAGTAGTGTTATTTCTGTGAGTTTTAGGAATAAAACTTCCTTGATTGAATGAGCCATATGACCAGAGTATAAATACAGTTTGTACAGATAACTAAGTACAGATCCTAAAAATTAGGATCTAGATAACTATGAGCTTATCTACAACTAACTAAGTCTATCCGACTAAATAGGTACATCAATCTAATCAGAAAAAATAATGTAACATTTTTCTAATAATGTAACATTTTTCTACACTCCCCCTCAAGTTGGTGAATATATATCATACATTCCCAACTTGCTCATAAGTAGCTCAAATATAGGTCTAAATAACCCTTTGGTGAAGATATCAGCTGTTTGATCTTTAGTGGATACAAATGGTGTGCAAATGATTCCAGCTTCAATCTTCTCCTTAATGAAATGTTTGTCCACTTCAATATGTTTAGTTCTATCATGTAGCACAGGGTTATGAGCAATGCTTAAAGCAGCTTTATTATCACAATATAACTTCATAGGCAGCCCAATCTCCATCTTCAGTTCTGTGATTACTCGTTTGATCCAGAGTAACTCACATATTTCATTAGCCATAGCTCTGAATTCTGATTCTGCACTACTTCTAGCAACCACATTTTGTTTCTTACTTCTCCAGGTTACTAGATTTCCCCATACATAAGTGCAGTATCCAGAAGTAGATCTCCTATCAGATATTGAGCCAGCATAATCTGCATCAGTAAAAGCTTCAATTGTCTTATTGTCTCCCTTTTTGAAAAACAATCCCTTCCCTGGACAGCTCTTCAGGTATTAAGTAGCATCAAGATGTTCTTGGAGAGGATGATGCATAAACTGACTCACCATACTTACTGCAAATGCAATATTTGGCCTTGTGTGTGCCAGATATATTAATTTTCCCACCAATCTTTGATATTGGTAAATATCAACTGGAATTCCCTCCTTGATATCTCCCAATTTCTGACTTGGGTCAATTGGAGTGTCTGCTGGTTTGCAGGCACTCATTTCAGTTTCCTGTAGAAGATCTAGGATATATTTTCTTTGTGAGACAACAATACCCTTCTTTGATCTAGCTATCTCCATTCCTAGGAAAAAATTTAAATTTCCTAGGTCTTTGATCTCAAATTCATGAGCAAGTTTGTCTTTCAACCTTTTAGTCTCTGTGTGATAATTTCCTGTGAGGATAATATCATCTACATATACAATTAAGACTGCAATCTCCCCCTTACCTGAAAACTTCATGAATAAAGTATGGTCAACTTTGAGCTTGATTAAATCCTTGCTTCTTTATGAACTTTGTGAATCTGTCAAACCAGGCTCTTGGAGACTCTTTAAGTCCATATAAAGCCTTCTCTAATCTGCAAACTTTTGACGCAAACTTATTTTCAAACCCAGGAGGAGGTTCCATGTACACTTCTTCTTCAAGTTTCCCATTTAAAAAAGCATTCTTCACATCCAGTTGTTGTAATGGCCAGTCTAAATTGGCAGCAAGAGATAAAAGAATTCTTACAGTGTTTAACTTTGCAACTGGTGTAGTGTGCCATAATTTCTTGCAGTGATCACATCAGGGTTTTTTCTTGTCATCACTCCTAGCCACCATTGCTGAAAAGTCCCCAGATTCCTCATTATGTATTGGAATGTTGTACATAACCTTCTTCCTGCTATCCTCCATCCTGATTTCAGAAAATACCTCCCTGATAGAGGGTAGAGGTTTTTTTCCAAGTATTCTCCCCTTAACTTCATCTAGATCTCTATTAATTCCTGCTAGGAACATGTAGACCCTATCATTTTCCTCCCTTTTTTGGTGTCTTGCTAGATCCTTGGCACTCTCCCACTTCTCATCATCATGACACTGATCCAACTCTTGCCATAGGGATACCATCTCATTATAGTAAGAGATGACATCTCTATTTCCTTGTTTGGACTGCCACAACTTGGTTTTTAATTCAAAAAAACTGAGAAGAGTTCTCAAGATCTGAGTATGTTTCCTTAATGGAATTCCATACCTCCTTTGCAGTTTTCATGAACATGTGAGGTTTGGCAATTGATGCATCCATTGAACTTAGAAGCCATGTTGTCACCAAGGAATTTTCTGACCTCCAGACACTGTAGCCATCATCACCAGTTTGTTTCTCCTTTATTTCACCAGTTATGTACCCTAGCTTGCCCCTTCCATCAATAGCCAGCTTGACAGATTGTGACCATTCGAGATAATTTGTGTCATTCAATCTATGGCCAGTAATGAGCATAGATGAATGAACTGAGGTCTGGTAGTTTGTCACTAGGCTATTTTGGGAGTTAGGGTTATGGGTTTGTGAGTGGGGAGAAGAGTCAGAGTGCTCAGTTTCCACCATTGTGGTGTTTAAACGGCCTGCTCTGATACCATGTAAGTTTTAGGAATAAAACATCCTTGATTGAATGAGCAATACGGCCAGAGTATAAATACACTTTGTACAGATAACTACTAGCTAGTACAGATCCTAAAAAATAGGATCTAGATAACTATGAGCTTATCTACAACTAACTAAGTCTATCCGACTAAATATGTACATCAATCTAATCAGAAAAAATAATGTAACATTTTTCTACAATTTCCAATAACAAGAATGTCATCAACATAAATCAACACATAAACCTGAATTGTACTGGAAAGGTAGAAGAGTAATGAAGCATCACATTTAGACTGTTTGAAACCAAAGGAGTATAATGCTGAGGTAAGTTTAAGGAACCAAGCTCTGGGAGCTTGTTTTAAACCATAGATAGCTTTATTAAGCTTGCAGACCAGTGATTTATCAGAGGATTGAAAACCTGGAGGTTGAACCATGTATACTTCTTCTTGTAACTCTCCATTTAAGAAGGCATTATGAACATCAAGTTGTTATAGTCCAGGAATTAGAAATAGCAATGGATATTAGAATTCGGATAGTTATAGGTTTAACCACTGGAGAAAAAGTTTCACTGAAATCAAAGCCATGTTGATGAAATCCTTTTGCAACTAATCTGGATTTGAATTTGTTAATGGTTCCATCAGGATTTTCTTTTAATCTAAACACTCATTTGCACCCAATCGCATGTGTTAGGGAGTGGGAGGCAGATGGACCGAGGCTCTAGGAGGAGGCAACTGGGCCGATGCTTCAGGAGGACGGGCCTCGCCCGTTATTAGTTTACTGTCGCTGTCAGTGGACCTAATTAGGCTGGGTTGACTGCTGGGTTTTATTACTTTCATTCAATTGTTATTTCTAATAAACTGTTGGGCCTAGATGGAAACAGAAAACCCTAACAGAAAAGCACCAGACAAAGACATTCCCAAGCCAAAATCTTCATTTATTCAAAATACAAACATAAACTTGGCAACCACAGAAAAACAAATGTCCAACTGTATTTTCTCCCAAATTTGGATAGGCCCCCTGCCCCATCTTCTCATATTCTAAACTTTACTTTGAGCTGCTGGTTCAAATTTCTAAACATTCTTTTCTTGCTCTTCCAACAAAAGACGGAAATCAAGACACTATGTCCCACATCACACCATCACCATCTCCATTTCTCTGAAACCATTGTTTGTTATTGCGCAATGCAATTGTGCCTCATGGCGCACCTCAGCTACTTCTTGTACTATGGCGTAAAAAGGCATTACATATGGCGTTGGGAGTGTGCCATATGCAATACTGATGTGAGGCTTACACAACATTGCATACGCAATAAGGCACTGGAAGGCGTACACAATAGAAGGTCAGGGTGTAAGGGTATTATTTAGGCCCACTCGGCTCACCTTTTTCCCTTTTGCTATTAGAATTTTTTGCGGTTATGTCCCTATTTCAAACCACTAGATAGTGACAAATTAATTTTCAGTCATCAATCTAATAAACTTAAAATTTAATATGTTGGGAATTTTGTTTTGATGAACAGTCCAAAAAGTTTCAGGTTTGAACATAATACTTTGCTAGGATTATGGCCTCGTTATAATTTGTTTTAATATGACTTTTTATGAATTAGTTGTTTTATTTTTTATTGTGTGTATATATTCACATATATATGTAGAGTAGCGATCCTGTCAGGCCGGCCTGACAGGACTCGCCGTCCGGCCGAGGGCATTTGGGCCCCTTCCCGGTGGCATTTTTTGATGAAGTTTTTAGAGCATGTTCTTTATCAAGTCTAGTTTATTCATACCAAATTTCAGATAAAAATTCAATCGGGAAGGCAGTCATATAAATTGTGGAACAAAACTGCGCTGTTTATATATAAAGCACAGTTTTTGTAAATGATTTATTTAACTGCCTTCCCGATTGAACTTTTAGCTGAAATTTGGTATGGACAAACTAGACTTGATGAGGAACATGCTCAAAAAATTTCATCGAGAAATTCCACCAAGAAGGTCCCCAAATGGCACCGCCGTCAGGCCGGCCTGATACGAACCACCCCCTCTATATCTATGTATGTGTGTGTATATACATATATATATTACGCCTCATTGCGCAACGAGGTTTACGCAATGTGCAATTTTAATAAAATGCCACGACTATGCAACACACAATTTCAAACCTTGTCTGAAACTAGATCCCGCTTCACACTCTTTTCACCTGTCTCCGATAATCTCTCACACCCTCCGTTGTTCCATCGTATAAAGGGATAAAATGGGAATCAGAAGTCTGAATAGGAATGGCTGAATATAAATGCTACATACTTAAACATTTGCAGTCACTCCATTTATTTCAGCTCAAGCCCTATTCAGCCTTTCATCCAAAACCAGACTATATTTATCATATTTAGCTGAACTTAAGATATTTCAGGTCATTATTAGCTGAACTGTTTGTGCTGAACATAGTTACATAGCCAAGGAATGTCATCATCCAGAAAGCATAAACAGGGAAAATAAACTGCAAATACACTTGAGGATGTATTATAAAACCATGGAAGCAACATATATCACCTACAGACAAATCCAATGCATTTCTTTAATCTTTACATAAATAACCAGTTTGGAGTTACAAGTTATTTGACCACAAAGCAAAGAACGAACCTGGATCACACACAGAATATCAGGGAGATGGTTTTTTGATTCATCAACAGGCCCTGTTAAAATTTTGAGTTAGTTCTAGAAATAGATCAGTCAAACAAAAGTTTATAGCTAATCAAGATTCTTCTGATAAACCTAGTAGGACAAACAAGTGGTGGGCAGGAGCATCAGCCATTAATTGTAAATCATCAGGGGAATTTTTGTAGTGAGAAGCGACAAAGAGAGCCATCATCCGCTGCACAAGGAGTTAAGTAAGTATCAGTACACATTACTAAACAGAGTATGCTTGATTTGTGAGAGGTATAGAATTAAATATACAGTGACAGCATTAAGCTTAAGTGCTTAAGCCAATAATATTTCTGCTTGTGTGGGGATTCTGAGATGAATAAATGATGTACAACAGCATTACCTGCAAAAATAACTCACTCTCCTTGTGGAAGGAGAAGAGTGTATCCCGATTTACATAATACAAATCGCATTCACCAGGAGGTGGTAGCCTGATAAAATAAAATAAAATAAAATAAAAGGAGTCAATAGATAATAATTTAGTTCCAACTAAGTTTCCAGTTGCAGCAAATTACCCGCTGATACTTGGGGTGAAATTCGTGACATCCAGACAAAGCAAAGAATTAAGCCAGGATTCGATGGGATCTCCGGGAGCATATCTGATGGATTCATTCAATTCTATCTTCTTGAAAAGCCTACCTATATTTGGATCATTGCGTGAAGGCATAATATACGATATCTTTAAAATGATGAGAGAAAGAAGCTTACACAATACTTCAACAGGCATTATTATAAAGAAGACAAGAGGTGAAGTACAAAATGATAGAGGTAATACTCAAAGCATAGATACTTTCATGCACAGATGGAAAGATAAAGCCACGGCAATGCTAAAAATAAAAACACTTACTTTTAATAAAAATAAAGCTTGAACAGTAAAACTACAATATACAAAACTACATCACCTACGAAGTCCTAAATTTGCAATTCTGCAGTAGTTAAGTAATATTAAACTCATTGGGACTGCCAAGAATCATAATAAGGATCCAATCTGGAAATGTGTAGTATACTAGTTATCTCAATTCCTTACGACGCACTATTTCAATGTTTATCAAGTGCAGAAAAGTCACAATGACCTACAGTTAATAAAGATTGCTAGGTAAAGATAATGGACCTGAAAGGGAACTTTCAGCACTTCTAGATGAAACATGGTTTTGCTCCTCTAGTTGCTTCACCAATTTCAGTGATAATGATCGTCCTGTTCCTTCATATCTTTTATTAAAGGAGAATACAATCAACACAGAATATGAGTAAAATTAGTGCAGTAAGCTCTATAGTCCGCAAAGATATAACTGATAAACATCAAATAAGAGAAAAAGTGGTTTCGCAATAATATGGAGGCATGGAGCTATATTTGATGGAAAATTAGTTGGACAACTTTTCTTACCCATTGACAGTTGAAGAAAGGAAAACGAGATAAGGACCGAGCAAAGCCTTCACAACTGGCAATGGAATTGCTGCTGCTTCATCAATTACCAGCAACTCAACTTGTGACAGTTTTGCATGTTCTTGTGGTTGTATATACTGCAGTTTCAAACAATGGTGAGGTATATGAAAGTAGAGTTGGACAAATGAGAATTGTAACCACAGGCTATGTATTACAATGCAAGAAAAATAGTAAAATAATATGGGGTCCAAATTACAACCCATGAGATGTGGACTTCTAGAGCCATGCCCTCCACGGGTTGCAGGGCATGTGGGGTGTGGTTTATGTTCTCTTAAGAGTATTGTGAAGTGATGGAGTAATGCAAGGTGCCGCATTAGAAGATAAAATCGATAAATAGCTAAGTTTTTTTCTAACAACAACAACAACATCCAAGCCTTAATCCCAAAAGAATTCGGGGTCGGCTAACATGAATCGATCTATGATATCGATGCCAAACAGAGAAGACAGACCAGAAGGGAAGAAAAAGTAAGATAAAACGGATAAAATAAAGATAAATAAATACTACCTCCGCCCCTTAAAACTTTGCCAAAGTTGACCGGCACGAAGAATAATAAAGTACAAACTGTGTGGTTGAGATTTGTGCAGAGGAGAGAAATAACAGAAACCACAAAATAATTGATTAAAAGGGAAAGTGGCAAAGTTTTAAGGGATGGGGGGAGTATAAGATAACAATAACATAAGAATATAAGAAAGATAAAAGAGAAAGATAAGAGAGCATAAAAAAGCTAGAAGATAAAAATAACATTAGAATATAAAAAGATAAAGAAGATAAACAATAAAAGAGAAGACAAAGGAAAGGTAGAAAAGACATCAATCGTGCACACGGATGTGCGCCCTCCACTTTGCTCTCTCCAAAGTCATACTCTCATCCAACCCAAGAAGACGCATATCAGTTCTGATTCCTCTAATCCAAGTCTATTTGGGTCTTCCCCTCCCTCTCTTCTCTGTCTGACTGCCTCTTCTCCCCACCCCTCAAGTCGTCTAACAGGTGCATCACTTGATCTTCTACGCACATGCCCAAACTACCGCAAACAAGACTCCTGCATCTTATCTTCTATAGGTCCTACTCCCACCTTTTGTCTTATTGTCTCATTCCTCAAGCGGTCTTTTCTGGTATGTCCACACATCCAACGCAACATACGCATCTCTGCCACACTCATCTTTTGAATGTGGCATTGCTTCACCGCCCAACACTATACGCCATACATTAAAGCATGCCTAATTGTTGTTCGGTAAAATTTACCTTTCAGTCTAGTCGGCATACCTTGATCGCATAGAAATCCTGATGCACTCTTCCATTTCATCCACCCAACTCTAATTTTGTGGCATACATCTCCATCTATCTCACCATCCTTCTGAATTATGAAGCCCAAGTAACGGAACATATCACACACCGGTATCTCCTTACCATCAAGAGTAATCTCACTGTTGCTACTACTTCTACCTCCACCAAACTTGCACTCCATATACTCAGTCTTGCTTCGGCTCAGTCTGAAACCCTTGGTTTTTTTCTAAATGTTAAATTTTTATCTTACCTTGTATTTTAATCTTTCCTATCTTTCCCTATCTTTCTTATCTTTTTAGCTCCAATTTCATGTGTCAATTCATGTTAGCCGACCACAAACTCTTTTTGGGACCATATACTTTATATTTTGTCTAAATCTAATAGCAGAGATGGAGTGGAGAGAGATTCATCTAGCTAGCTCATGGATAAAGCGTGAAAAACATTAAAACTTTAATTTGAAAAAAATGGGCTATAATATGTTGAATGAAAGTATTTTATTTTTAAATTATGAAGGAGTGTAGATGAGTTATTGTTTAATTTTTCAAAAACTTATTAATTTTATCATTAACAATTAGGTTTTCAGTTTGTGATGCTCAGAGCCTATTTGGTAAAGTTAAAATTGGTTGATTATGCTAAATCAACTGAAATTGTTGAAGTCGTAGCTGAAATGTCTAAATAGTTGAGTTATAACAAAATTAAAATATATTTTAATAATAAAAAAGAAGGGGAGCCTTGGCGCACCGGTCAAGGTGTTGTTGTGTGATGGAGAGGTGTCACGGGTTCAAGTCTTGCAAGCGGCCACTTATCAAAAAAATTGATAGAGAAAGGCATGCCCTAATACACCCTTGTGGTGGGACCCTTCCCTGGACTCTCGCCTTGCGAATGCACCAGGCTGCCCTTTTAATAAAAAAATAAACAACTATACAACAACATCTGCTTAGTCCCTGATGGAGTATATGGTCCGGGACACCCCGGCCCACAGACTCCTGCTTCTTCTACACAGGCCCATCAAGCTCGATGAGCACACAAAGCCCAAACATAGCGGCCCAAGCATGAAGAAGCTCACGCTGCACACGTGGATGCCTTCGGTCCTATGGCCGAGGGATCCAAATTCTGGGAGACATCTTAATATGGTCCTGCAAAGCTTCTGGAAAATCATGGCTAAAATATTAGCCTTCGGCCACCCGATGCCTTCGGCCACCTGATGCCTTCAGCCACACGATGCCTTCGGCCACCGGATGCTTTCGGCCACATGATGCCTTCGGCCACACAATGCCTTCGGCCACATGCATGCCTTCGGCTACAGGGAGGCCCCGGCACATAGAGCCTTTGGCCACATGGAGGCCCCGGCACATAGAGCCTTCGGCCACATGGAGGCCCCCGGCACGTAGAGCTTTCGGCCACATGGAGGCCCCAGCACATAGAGCCTTTGGTCACATGGAGGCCCCTGACACATAGAGCCTTCGGCCAGGAGGGACAGCCGACGGCATCCTCCTCGACAAGATCTCCTCTCCACATGCATTGAATCACCGCATCAAGTACAATGTCACGTCCAACCACCGCATTTAATGCGGCGTCACATTCACCCACCGCATTTAATGCGGTGCACATGCGAATGTCGGTGCCACCCCGATTGAGGTGACTCCTCAGCCGTTAGATTGTTGACACATGTACTCTCATCGCATTTATGGCTGCTATAAATAGCAGCCCTTATTCACCTTGTAAAGCACACTGAGTTCATTTAATACATTTGACTCTCTCTCTTACTTGTTTGCTCTGACTTCTCTCTAGTTATTCTCCGCAATAACCCCTCAGATAAGCTACCCCCGGGTACACTATCCATCAGTTCCAAAAGATTTCGGGGTCGGCTAACATGAATCGATACAACTATATGGGTAAAAAACTAAAATGGCCCCTTCAATCAATTCAGTCAAAAATACGTCAAACCTCACATTTTTCATTTTTAACCAATTCAGCGTGGCCAGCGCGTGAATTAAATAAGTTAGTGTTTGGTAATTAATTCGCGCATAAGGCTTACGATCCAAAAAAAGAAGCTACCAAATGGGCACTTATATGTATTTTGTATCAAGACTTAATAACATTTGTAAATAGCTTTTTCCCCTTTATGTAAATGTTCTGGGTATGCCATTGATCAAGATAGATTGCCACTTTCAATTGTATAGAGTAAGGACTGCTAGCAACGGTGAAAACAAAAGAATTCATGAAAGTAGCTAAATTATACATCCCCAGATTCCCAACACATATGTGAATAGAGAGCCACACGACATTGTTATAAAACCCAAAAAATACTTAAACTCATATGTTCCCTCAATATTGAACGTTAAATATGATAGACACAATTGTAACTGTCACCTCAATGACATTAAAAGAAATCAAAGCAACGCATTTGAAAATCATTACAAAACATAATTTCAATGCAGTGTTACCAATGGCAGATCAGAGATGGCAGATAACAAAATTCCACCATATGGTGCTACCATACACTGTCACTATTCAGCATAGTCTGTTATTTTTCTTCCATTGCCATGGCACCGCCATGGTCACCATTTGAACATTCAAAGTATACACACATTTAGTAAAGTCGTAATCATAAATATTGAACATAACCTCAAAAAGAGAAAGAGGAAAGTGAGCATAAGAGATAAAGAGAAAATGGGAGTACAAGCTTCAAGAAAGAATATGAATTGTTAAAATAATAGAGTATCGATCAGGTATAATCTCATATCTACAAGTCCTACTGAAGGATTTTTTTCATTTAGTGTACCTGAATCGTCTGCCTATGTTGTTTGTAGATATTGATCCGTACAGTAGCTTTTTTAAATTCGGGATTCATGCTTTTCACAACATCATAATCCAAGTGTTCCTGCACGGCATGTTCTCTGTTGTTTAGTAAGAGTAAGTTACATCGCATCATCTATGTTTACTGAAGAAGTGCACATCACAATTTTAAGGAGGTCGACATGAGCCATGTGAGGTGGATGTAACATTTTTACAATTCGTATGCAAAGTCTCTGGAGTTCTAGCCCGTGTATTTAGTTAGATCCACCTTGGCAGTAATCAAGGTTTGCTGGATGGACAGAAAATCTACTGCCCACTACATGTCTATTACTTTGTCTATTGAGAGATGTGCATAAACCACTAAATGATCCCTTAGAGTGTTAGATTAGAAAAATGGAGTCCACAACTTCATAATCATTAATTATTTAAATTTAAATAAGCAAGACAACGATGAACGGAAGGTAACAAGCTGCACTGTCTGTACCTTACATAATTTGTGTCCCTGTGAAAGGAGCATATTTTCCTCGAATAGATTAATCAGGATATATAATAACATCCATGCTTATGGAGAATGGATATAAAATTTGGAGAACCAAATATTTCCAACCAGAGAACAATAAAGGAGAATTGGAGAAGATTATATGGTCAATGTTATGGGTCAGGAAAAGGGTTTTACCATTTTAGCTCTAATTTTACTTAAAAAAGAGCAGATGATTGAGGCTAAAGCTTTAAAATAGTCCTGATGTGTACGCTTCATATCAATGCCTCACATATTATAGGCATAAGCCTCTTTGTTCTGCAACAGTGGGGTATCAATTTATCAGGACATTTTTGCTACGCCTAAGTTTAAGCACACCTTGATGTTAGCCTCAATACCGCTTTTCTAAAGCATGACAGTAATAGCATCCAAATTAAGTACTCATATTTCTTAAAAGTCCTACACTGCTTTAGGTAGTTTCCTAGCTTGAATACTAATTCGGATGAGCGAGCCATATTAGACACAAAATTAATGTGTTAATTGTGTAGGCTCCCTTGCTACAATATCTCCATTAAGACTCCATGAGGCAAGTTAAAAATCTTCATCATGACCCCTTAATAGTTCAAATACACATGAAACATCTATATCATCACTGCCTTAATAGGAGCAATTAATTATCTAAAATTAATTAACACTACATAATTTTACAAAAAGATCATAGCGCCAAGGTTTTATGCCAGATACCCTTCTGTTACAAACTTCTCGAGAAAAATAAAGAGATGAAAAGATCAAATGAAAAACTTTGTAAGTGTTTTCCTCATTCTAATCTAAGGCCTTAACTGGGTTGCCATACAAAATTCATGGTGAAATACATCTACTGATCTACATCAACCACATTCTCAACAAGCGCATTAATTTCACCAAAAGTAAAAAGAATGCTTACCTTGTATTGAAGCATGTCAAATCCCTTGCAAATAAACTCAAACAGAGTCTTTAAATTCTCCGGGCTTGGTGCAGTTACAAAAATATTAGAATACCTGAAACAAATGTCCATCATAAGGTCAAATGAAGATACTGATAGGGAATAGATGAAATGGTGAGTTCATAAAATATCGCGAAAATATAAGTTCTACATAAGTACAAAATTAACTTACCCAGCTGCAACAGCTCCTGCAACTGCCAGTCCGAGGGCAGCTGACTTACCACGGCCACGAGCAGCAAGCAATGCAACTGTACTATGAAGTGACTTATCCAAAATTGAATCAAGAAAGTTTATGACAGCTTTCCCCTATTAATTTTTAAAAGGATAAGGTTTTTATCAGATACTTGAACTACAAAATTAACGAAATAAAATCATCAAGAAAACAATCTTTACCTGGTCCAAAGTACAGCACTTTCGGATCAAAGGACCAACAGGGAAGTCATCATTTAATTGTTCTTTCAAATTTTTCAAATCATGCTCTGCTTCTGAAAGCCCCTCAGAGTCCTTTCACAACAAAAAAACAATAGTATACAATTGTCTATGCCAAAAATAAATTACGATTGTGATATCTCATATATTCCAAAGTTTTATAAGAGCATTTTTTTGCTGTAGTCATCTAATAAGTTTTGTAAAGTTAGTCACATGATGACAACCATAGTTCACAATCGTGGTAAGACATGTCCAAACAAATATACTACTCCCTCCATCCCGAAATGATGGTCCTGTATTTCCTATTTGGGTTGTCCCAAAATGATAGTCTTGTTTCCCTTTTTGGTAAGGAAAATAAAAGTAGATTACCATTTATACTCCTCGTTTTTATGAACAGTAAAAGTAAAAGAATAAACAGTGCAATAAAGTAAGGTTATATGAGTCATTCTACCCCACTTTCTTAATATTTGAACCCAAAAAGTATAGGACCATCAATTTGGGACGGAGGGAATAGTACTTTTTCAACATTCAAGAGTGGTAAAGGTTCATTGGTAGAGGCTTACCTCTTGAGCAGGGACTGGGCTAATTGACTTCATATGCGATGAGATCGGTAAGATGTTTAATTCATCATCCATCACAATACATGCTTTACATGATGCAAGTGAAAGTAAGAAGCGTTCATTAAAGCGCCCAGAGGTTTGAGAATGAGATTCTGTGCGATATCTTTCATGAACATCCTGCACATTCACAGAACAACCATGAATTCCAAATGTAAGCACTTACATAATGAAAAGGGGATGTACATTACTATATTGTTTAATAAACCCAGGCCCCAGCAACAACATGCAACAGATACTTTCATCAAGTTTAGTATGAAGCATCAAAGTAACTTTCATCAAGTTTAGTATGAAGCATCAAAGTAACTCCCCTAGCTTTCGACCTACCAGCTACAGTTGCATCAAAACTTTTATTTTGTTCTATTTGGTCATTCATTGTGGCTCTCTCTTACCCTTTTCTCACTCAATTTTCTTGTTGGCTCATTCTACAAGTGCTTAAAATTTACTGACATTGTAAAACCACCGTATTTAATCTCAAGCATAAGAATATATGAATGTGACATAGTCCGCAAATCTGGCATCACACTGCGCCTAGATGACACCTAATAGACGCCTCAAAATGCCTGGGAGACTTCAAGTGAGTTGACATAGCATAGCCCGGATGCCTAGTTGACGGCTTGACGCATAGGTGATGCCGTGAAAACCATGCTCTAAGGTGACTTTAAGCACCATAAATTTGACCAGAAGGATCACGGGTGGGCAAAGAACAATGGTCATGTACCAAATTTGGGTGAAGATAACGACATTGACCTAATGTGAGATTGGCATAATACTCGTAGGACCCAAAGTAGAATTTTTTCTTATTGAAATAAGGCCTCATATTGTTAGGACAGTATAAAGTCACAATAAGACAAACTGAATATGATACAATTGTAGACAAAAAACAAGCATATCTTAGGTGTTAATAAACTTTCCTATATAGAACTAAAACATAGCCAAAATGTCACAATAGGAGTATCTATATTTTATTCTTTTATTCCTGTTTGAGGATTGATATGCTCCGGTTCGGAGATTGCAACATCTGTGTAATATCTATTACACCCTTGTTCAAGTTAATTCACATGCTACAGTTGAGATGACATTTTTGTACATTGAAAATCAAGATGACATTTTTATTACTAGTCAATATGACATTTATTTTGTTGTCATGATGACATTATTGCTTCACAATTGGGTTAGCTTTTAAAATTTAGCTTGATGATGTCATTATGAAGTTAATGGCTGTATAGTCATCATGATGTAATTCTTATTTCAGGATGACATTTTGTTTGGTAAAAAGTATATGTGATTTTTAAAATAAGGGCACTTTTGGCATTCATGCCCACATTTTCTCGTATCAGATGATGCGCAAATGTCATGGTCCTAATTTTGCACATTCACCGTGTTTTAGTCCTATTTGGGTCATTTTATCCAATGTGTTTTACCATGGCGTGTATAAATGGTAAAAGATAAGAGGGTAGAGACGATATGTAAGGATTTGAAATAATTACGAATGCCATGTATAAGAGACATGACATGTACTAGTATATATTAAGATTAAGAAGATAGCCCAAGATGTAGAATCTTTTCGAATCATAGATCGCATAAATCTTATAGGGAGTACTTAAAGGCTAAATGGGACAAAACAAATCAATTTAATTTCTCTTTCCATTTTCACATCTACTTTGAGTTACATCTTCGAATAAAATAAGCATGTCGTCTAACAGCAATATATTTGAGCAAGTGAATCAGGCTTAAAGTTATAAGAAGAGCAATAGGAACAAGTCTGGGGAGGTGTAGATGCCAGTATGGCATGGCCATTTTACATGTTTCCCACACAAATTCCAGACAGTAAATATAACTTGCAACTTATGGCATGTACATACCATGACCATGGTGTATAAACTTGTCAATGAGGTCAAAGATCGAAGCAGCAAAACAATCAAACCACCACCTTCAACTGTTTCTATAGTTCTTGCTAAAAGATTGGGTGTCAAAGCCTCAAAATCCTAGAGTACGAAAACCAGAAAGGTAATCACAAGTGATTAAGCACGAGATATTTCAATTAGCTATAGAAGATGGATAAAGGTTTTTGACATCAATACGCACATGCAATTTTATCTACTGGATATACCTGTAATACACACATGCCAAAAGTGTTTCCAAGAATTCTTTCTGAATCCTTGTACAGGCAGTAGGACACACCACCAGTTTCAATAAAAAGTTCAAAAGGGTCTGCTCGCTCCTCATCTACCAACCCTCTCTGGATTAATTTTTTGAGTTGCTTCCTCCTTTTTTTCTTGTGGCTGCACAGATAAAAATCAGTACCACTACTAACTAAACAACTATAGGGGACAAATAGCAAGCTCCGACCTTTTCTGCAATCAAATGAAGCATTTTTGCCTGAAATAAAATGTTACTTATATAAATACAGTAACACACATAATCCAGCAACCTGCTAAGTTCAAGCTTGTCCTTGTAGCACCAAAGCACAGTCGGGCGCGACTTCACCACAGCTTTGCTCAGCATGTAATGCAGGTTCACAATCTGTTTTAAAAAAACATTTTATTGTAATTAGAAGAATATGAGTTTGGTGAAAGATTGTATTTTAAATGGCAGGGGAATGCCTGGTCGCGCGACTTGTCTCCAATGATAACGAAAATTGATCTATGACGGTTCTTGACACCATTCTCGATGAGGGTTCGGATACGCTGGTCGACCTTCTTCCTCATGGGTTCAGATAATTAGTGGTGAGGTTTTCCAGTAGGTTTCTGCACTTGGGGCGTGGCGGAAAAGAGCCGAGATGGAAGGGACAGCAGAGAACCGAGGGGGTCGAGGAGGACACTGAGCAGCTTGGTGAGTCTTGTGAGAGAGATGAGACTAATTGGCGGATACAAAGAGGAGCAGAGAGGTTCGAATCAGGGTAATTTAAATTTAGAAGGGGACCTCTAATTTGGGGTAAATTACAAATTTAGCCATGGAATTTGAGTTTTTTTTCCAGATTAATGCTAATTAATTAATTAAGTAATTATGAAATTAGGGTTGGGTTAAAAGTTATTACCGATATACTGTTGGGATTAACCCTGGTTAGGCAAAGTCGTCAAACGGTTTGGCGACTTATAAGTCGCCGTCCGGTTTGGCGACTTATAAGTCCTCAAACGGTTTAACCACTTTGGCCTTCCCAAAAACGTTAACACTCAAACTCTGTTTCAGACCGGTGCCGGTTAGAGACCAATATGGGCCGGTCGGGGCGACCCCCGTTGCGAAAATTTTCCGTTTTTCGTCCTAAATGGTTCCCGATTGTTGCAATTCACCGTTTAACGACTTAAAGAACACATACAAAACACAATTTGGTAGAAAAGATACAAAGTGACACACCTGCTCAAAAATACAGTATAAAAACAGCATGTAGACATCCGATATGCATAACCAAACACATCAACACTTCATAATCAAATGACAAAATACTAATAACACAATATCCATTAGTTTAAAGGTAAAAATATGTAAAGAATTGAATTGTTTCTACAACATTTGGTGTACATTAGTAAGTCCAATAATAGAGAGACTACGAATTTTCATGGTCTTCTTGATCGTATTCGTCGTGGAGTTGTGGCTGTTGACGCATACGCTTACGCCGCTATCGTGGTTGAAGAACAACTCTGTCCCGTTGAGTTTGATATGTAGAACCCACCGCCGTTGCTGATGATGTCAATGTCATATAATCCTGAGAGGGGGTCATATGTATAAGATGTCCATAGTCCACTCGGTCCAACACATCTGAACACAACGAAGCGATGTCCGTCAGAACCTGACTGTAGATGTCCACATCATGTGTATCATTAACTGTGGTAGTCGCTCGCTCATGTATACGCTGCAATGCCCGTGTCTGAAATGTGAAACATGAATTATAATTATTTTGAAATAAATAAAAAACTTAAATAAAGAACATGAAATAATTTTGTAATTAGTAGCACACTCACCGTCAAGTGTAAAACCATGGAACTAGGCTGGTAATGGTGAGTAGGGAGTATGAAAGAAGGAGAGATAAACAGTTGTGTGATGTTGTAATACCATCTCATGTAGTCTACAGAAACAGATGGGACGAATGTAGGCGTCTCAATCACAACAAGCTCTGCTCGCCTATCCCATACAGTGATGTATCTAACATGTCTGAGCGACCAATCCTCTGTAGGCTTCCCACGCCTATCCAGCTTATGGAGATCTACATATGTGTCGACAGGTGCTGGAATGACCTGTTCATAGCCAAACTGCCTCAGTACACGATCTGGCAAATGAAGCTCAACAATGTCAAAAAAGATCATCAGGACACGTGATCACCATATATCATAGTGCTCTCGTCTTGTTGGGGACAACTCCTCAAACACCTGGGTTGTATATGGCATCCATGTAATCTGTTTGAAAAGGAAATAAAATTAGTCTTACTGATTTTCATATGATAGGTAATGTTATATGATGTATAACAAACCTGATCATCCGACATGCGATCAAATGCATCTCTATAGAAACCGAGTCCAGTAGCCGATGATGTGCGTCAAAGAACAACAAATAGCCATCTAACCATTCATGTTGTACATATTAATATAAATATAATTCGTATAATTATTTGGAACATACAATAACATAAATATAATCTTGTAAAACATATCGACGCCCCAAAGGGTCCTCGCCCCGTTGATGATGTGGTCCAAGGAGACTTGGAGGCTGGTCATGAAGTGGAAGTTCATCTGGCCCATGGTATCGTGATATGATGGGACGTCCAATGTGAATGTACTCTCACGACCAAATCTGTAAGAAGAACAAAAAAAACAACCTCCATGCTCCCACTCTGACAACCTATAAAGATACGCTAGAGTAGCACTCCCCCAACTGAACTGTGCAGCTACATCAAATATCTCTAGCATCGGCAATGGCAGCACCTGAACATCATTTCCACTCTTGTCTGCAAAAATGGAAGCTCCCATCAACATCAAAATGTATGCCCCGTGCATGTTGTTGAATCATCACCTCATCTGCCTCCGCGGGAATCTCAACAAAATGCTCCCTTAGCCATGACATCCTCAGAAATGATCCACGAAAGTTTGTCCGGAGAAGGGGGCGAACACCCAACAATCGCTCCACATCCTCAACCCATGCTCGACATGTTGTACCTATAACGGCTCTCTTATGCACTTGTAACTCACTCAAAACAACCACATCTCCCAAGGTCACTGTCACCTCACCAACTGGAAGGTAAAATGTATGAGTCTCCTGCCTCCAACACTCAAGAAGAGCGGTGACCGGAGCTATATCAAGTGGGACAATAGCCACCAATCTATGTACACAAAAAAAACAGTAGCTCTAACATACGCTAAAACTCTGTCATCCACCTCCACGTGGGACAAACTACGGAGGTGCTCTCGACACCTATCAACCTGCACATTCAGGCCACGCCACACATATTCAGTCCTATGCGTGGACTGCAATGTAAAGACAGAAGGATCAATCGGCCCTGGATCCGATGACACCTCCATAGTGCCTACAAAAATTGAAAGGTGTGTTAGTTAGTAATTAATTAACAATTTTAAATTATTATTTTTTAATTCTCAGTAATATGAGTTGTGGATTTTAATAATTAAATACTTTTTTAAGAAAATCATATTACATATACATCACTTAACAAAGGCAAAATAATAAGTTTTTCACCTAAAAAATCAAAATATCACATTCAAATTCACATTACACAACAAATGCACAAAAACATCAAAAATTACATTGAATTCAAGATTAAAATTCAACATTTCATACATATTCACATTTCACAACAAACCAATTCACAAATCAATTCCTACTTTACAAATTCGAAAATTATGAATTGAAACCCTAGGTTGAAAATGAGATGAAATTGGGGATTTGATGTACCTAGAGGTTGAAGAAGATGATTGGGGAGTGTATTTGGTGGGTGGAATGGCCTCCTAGTAGCTATAGTCACCGGAAACCGTTGATGTAGTTGCTTTTCGTCGGAGCTTGGTTTGTGGATGTGTTCGTTCTATCTGTTTTGGAGTGGGTTGTGTGCAGGGTTTTTAAAAGACAAAGTCGCCAAACCGTTTGGCGACTTTGCCCGATCCGGGTTAATCCCAGCAGTATATTGGTAATAACTTTTAACCCAACCCTAATTTCGTATTAATTAATTAATTAGCATTAATCCGGAAAAAAACTCATGGAATTTTGATTTTGCCTAATTGAATCCAAATATTATGGTACTCATTATTCTTTTTTGATAAATTATCCTTTTTTAATGAATTATATCCTACAACCGATTATATCGCGTGCATGGAATCATCGAGTAAATTTGTAACTCTTTGCGAATTTGAGCTATTTAAAACATGTTGTTTCTTGCTTCTTATTTAAATCATTTCCTAGTTAGACATGAATGCACACCAACTATTTGATAAAATTTCAAGGTGAATTATGATTCATTATTTGAGAGAGTGTTTATTGATGTTGCACTTGAATAAAGTGTTGAGTTTATCTTTTTTTTTTTGAATAAAGTGTTACACTTGTATTACTTCTACATTTAATAAATTATTAACTCTTTTTGTTGACTTTTTTAGCTTTATGATTAAAACTAACTACTAGATACGTTTTCTAGCTTTGCTTGGCTTTTGTAATTTATATTTCATGGGTTCAAATATTAGTGCACTATATGATATACTCAGCTATTAATGTTTCTTTTTCTACCATTAAATATATGATGAGCATTACTAATTTAACAATGTTTATTGTGTTAAGATTGGTTGAGTTTTTGCATTTCACAAAGGTTTTTACATGATTTCAATAAATGACTAAAGTATTATTTTCAGAAGATTAGTTATGCATCGAATAAGTAAACATAGCAACTCAATTATTTGGAATGTGTTTATTACGTGTTAATTATTGAAACCAGTCGGGTGTAAAAACCAAAATGAGGAAAGTGTTTAAAATAAATGTCCATGAGTGTAAGACCATAAAACAAACACAATAAAAATCGTAAGTCATGAATAACAAAATATAAATTACTTTGTTAAAATTATAATATTTCACATGCATAAATATATTGATACTTTAATAAATGATACGGAAATTATTGTATTAAATTGATTTGTAATGAATATATTACTCCCTCTGTCCCAAAAAAGTTTGACAAATTGACTTTTCTTGGTCAATGATAGCCAACTTTGACGAATAATATTTTTTAACATGAAATTATTTTGAATATACAAATTATATTAAAATGCTCATTATTAAAAAATATTTTCATAAAATGTATAAACTTTATAAATTATAAACAAATTCAATAATTATAATAATTATCCAAAGTTTTTTTTATCATTGACTAAAAAATCAATGCTCAATGAACATGTTTTGATGTTCAATGAAAATGTTTTGATGCTCAAATGAGGTTTTGAACTTTTCGATACTCATTTCGTAAGTTATGTGTGCTCATTCTGTACTTGAGTTGATTATAGATTTAATTTGAGTATGTTTTACAAAAGAAAATGAAAAATTCATTAATATTACTCTTCAAAATGTGGTGGGAAAAAATATTACTTGGTAACTATTAGTGGCTATACTTGTGTTCAAAGTCTACATCGTGTAATTACTACAATGTAAAATATGAACACAATGATAGTCACTAATAAGTACTAAGTAATATTTTTGTTTGTAACTTTTTTATTAGTAATATACTAATATTTAAATAAAAACCCCAAATAAAAAAAGGGAAAATAAGATGTAGAAAGTTAATTATAAAATATGGAACATATATCATGATACTCAATATTAGACTTTTAATATTCAACAGAATTAGGTTGATACCTTATACAAGTGCATTGATGCTCAATTAATAGAAGTCACAATTTTCAACTAAAAT